AAATGGACTAAAAACTGAAATTTAAGATCTGAAACCATAAAGCTCTAGAAGAATACACAGGAAGTGACCTTCTTGACATGGACCTTGGCCATGGTTTTTTTGAATTTGATACCAAAATCAAAAGCAAATAAATGGGCCTTTATCAAACTAAAAAGCTTCTGCAGAGCCAAACAAACCATCAGCAAAAAGAAAAGACAATGTATAGAATGGGAGAGATTATCTACAAACCATCTATCTGATAAGTGGTTAATGTCAAAAAAACAAAACAAAACAAAACCTCACATAACTCAATAGCAAAAAACCAGACAATCGAACTAAAAATTGGGCAGAGGATAAGAATACACATTTCCCAAGGAAGAGCTATAAATGAGCTGCAGGTCCATGAAAAGGTTACTCAACGTCAGCAGTCATCTGGGAAAGGTGAATCAAAATGACGACATACTACCTCACACCTATTAGAATGGCTGTCATCAAAAGCAGTGGCAAGAATGCAGAGAAAGGAGAACCCTCATGCCCTGTTGCTGGGAATGTAAACTGGTGCAGTCATTATGGAAAGCAGTATGAAGGGTCCTCAAACATTCAAGAAGAAAAATCAGAAAAAATATGACCCAGGCATCCTACTTGTGGGTATGTGTGTGCATGTGTGTCTATACCCCAAGGAAATGAAAAGCAGTGAAAAGACACGTGGACTTCTCCACTGTGCCCTGCAACTTCTCAGCACGATCCACAGCAGCTAAGATGCGGGAACACCTAAGTGGCAGTCAATGAATGTACAAGAAGCGGTGGTAAATGTACGCAATGGAGGATGATTCAGGCATGAGAAAGACATTCTGCATTTGCAACAACATGGGTGGATCTCGAGGGCATTATACTTAGTGAAATAAGACAGAGAAAGACAAATACTGCATGGTATCATCACTTATAGATGGAATCTAAAGAAAAAAGAAAAGTCAAAATTCCTAGAAACAGAGTAGGAAAGTAGTTGCTAGAGGCTGAGGCCCAGAGAGTGGTGGTGAAGGAAATAGGGGGATTATAAAAGGGTACAAAATTTTAGCTCTAAGATGAATGAAGTTTGAGGGTCTAATGTATCGTGTGGTGACTACAGTTGGAAATACTGTATTACAGAATTGAAATGTGCGGAGAGAGAACTCATAGGTCACATACACAGCCAAGAAGAGGAGTATGTGAGGTGGTGGATGTTTATTAACTTGATGGGAGGAATCCTTCCAAGACGTATTGTTTCCTCGATGTATTGTAGATCTACTCGTGACGTACACTTTAGATATCTTAACAACTGTAGTCATCAATCTTAATAAAGCTTAAAAAAATGCAGTAATGACAGCTATAGACTATGCCCTGAGCAATGATACCAAAACAATTGAGGCAAAAACTATGGCCAAGATAATAACAACAGGAAAGTAAAGGTTTATGACAAAAGTGTTAAAAGCAAATATAAAATTAAATATCAAACCTAGTACCTTTATAAACAGAATATTTGTTTTTAAGCATCCATGAAAGATTTACAGAAATATCAACTGATCTTTTTACCAGAATAAAAATAAATTTTAAGCAAAAAAAAAAAAGATAACATGCTACTTTATTCTAAGTAATTAAATTATACAAGAAAATAATGAAACAAGAAAATGAAAGTACTTACCCTATCTTCCAAATTTCGATGTCTTAAGGTGAAATCAGAACTAAATTCATAGCATTAATTAAATGCTTACATAGTTTTAAAAGGAAAAAAAGCCAGATAACTCTTCATTCAATTTAAGAAATTAAACATGAAAAAGAACTCTGAGGAAAAGAGCAAACATTAAGAATAAATGATTCTTATCATTATCATTCTATTGGCGCACCAGTCGGGGGGCGCCTGGGTGGCTCAGTCGTTAAACGTCTGCCTTCGGCTCAGGTCATGATCCCAGGGTCCTGGGATCGAGCCCCGCATCGGGCTCCCTGCTCGGCGGGAGGCCTGCTTCTCCCTCTCCCACTCCCCCTGCTTGTGTTCCCTCTCTCGCTGTGTCTCTCTCTGTCAAATAAAATCTTAAAAAAAAAAAAAAAGAAAAGAATGACCAGTCAATCAGAAAAGTACACAGTTGTTAAACGTAACAGGTGATTTTGTCAGAAAATTAGTCTCTAAAGAGAGTAAGCAAGATTTAGGGGAAAAATATATTTAATTCAGAAAAAAGCTCAAAGCCTGATTAGACCACTCAGCCTAGAAGAACTTTTGGGGGAAAAAACCTAAATTGCTCCTGCAAAAGGCTTCGACGATTTCGTGGTGATTTAGTTTCAGGAATAGTTAGCTCCCATTCTAAATAATCTGCTGCAGAATGCAGAAATAAAAAAACAGCGCAGGCACTAGCTGTGATATGTTCCAGACGCTGACCTAAGTGCTCTGCCTGGATTGTCTTAACCATCACGTGAATCCTCAAACAAGCACTATTTACTATTCCAATATTCAGATAAACTGAAAGAGATGGTAAGTTCCACATTCAATGAAAAACACTGGCATAAGCTTGAAACCAATCTCATTAGAAGTAAACATTTTAAATAAAATGCTGACAAATCAAATTTAGTTATACTTAAATCAGTAAGACTGCAAAGCACACATTAGAATATAAAAATAAATTCATGGATTTAATAAAAATATTTTAATTGATGTCAGAAGAGCACCTAATTAAGTTGAACAGATACTCCTGATGTAAATTCTTAAAACACTGCAAACAAAATGCAACACTGTACTTAACATTCTCATTAAAATGAGGAATAAGACAGGGAAGCCTACTTTGATCATTATTAGTTGTACTTGAAGTGCTAATCACCATAGTAAGAAGAAATGAAATTAGAAAATAATTATTTAGAGAGGATACATCCTTAGTAAATAAAAACTAAGCATCAGGAAAACCAGTAGTTCTAATAGAGCTCTGAGTAAGTGGCTCAAATATAAAATAAAAACCTAAACCAAATTTCCTACAGTCATTAAGATGGTGTGTTACTGGCACATCTTTAAAACGTAGACCAATGGCACAAACTTCCAGCTATAAAATAAGTAAGTCATGGAGATGAAAAGTACAGCAGAGGGAATACAGTTAATGATCCTATAGTAACGTTTTTTTGGTGACAGATGGTGACTACCCTTACTGTGCTGAGCACCAAGTCATGTGTAGAATTGCTGCATCAGTATGTTGCGTACCTGAAACTAACCTAACACTGTATGTTAATCATACTTCAATTAAAAAAAGTTGACCAATGGAACAGATTAGTGTCCAGAAGCAAACTCACACGTACAGAGTTTATTAGCTCATGACAATGGTAACAGTGCAGTGTATTTGGGAAAGGAAAGTCTTTCTCAAGAATGGTGCTGGGTAGGGGCGCTTGGGTGGCTTAGTCGTTGAGCGTCTGCCTTCGGCTCAGGTCATGATCCCAGGGTCCTGGGATCGAGCCCCGCATCGGGCTCCCTGCTCGGCGGGAAGCCTGCTTCTCCCTCTCCCACTCCCCCTGCTTGTGTCCCCTCTCTCGATGTGTCTCTGTCAAATAAATAAATAAAAAATCTTAAAAAAAAAATGATGCTGGGTTAATTGGATGATTAATCAAAATACAAAAGGTTGAACAATAAAATTGCTAGAAGAAAAACATGGTAAAATATTGACATCAGTTTTTCTATTTGAAATAGGACTTGTATCTAGAACACAGAAAGAACATGTACATATCAGTAAGAAAAAAGGCAGACAACTCAATACAAAAGTGGTCAAAAGATATGAACACATACTCCACAAGAGGAGACCCATCATCCAAATGGCCAGTAAGCATATGAAATGGTGTTCAGTTCTATCAGGAAGAACTAAAGTAAAACTGCATTATGATGCCAATATACACTGCAAAAACAGCTAAAACGAAAATACCAAGTACTGACAATGATGTAGAACAAATGGAACTCTCCTTACACTGTTGATAGTAGTAGGATTTGGTAAAACCACTCTGGACAACTGAAAAATCTGAATAGGGTTGGATATATGCAACCCTAAGAGCCAGCAACCCTACTGAATATATATCCAACTGAGAACTCTAATACATTCACCCCAAAAAATGTACAAATATAGTCACAGTTCTATTTCTAATAGCCCCAAACTGAAAATAAGTGTTCACTGATTATAAAATGGATTAACTGTGGTATAATACAACATGGATAAACACAAGGAAAAAATACATAGCATGGAAGAAGACATCTGAATTACATACATGGGTGGATCTTGCACTGCTGAGCAAAAGGAGTTATAAGACTATATACCGCATGAATACATAAACTGTTAAAAAAAAAAGCTGAACTGTGGTGGTAAGTCAGGATAATTATTACCCTGGGAGTTAGCAGTTACTAGAGGGATTCTAGGGTACCGGCAATGTGCTGGTCTCGATCTGGGTAATTAAGTGGATGTGAATACTTCTAGAAAATCCACTGAATTGTGAACTTAATAGTTGGTGCACTTTTTCTATGTTATGCTTCCATAAAAATTTTACAGTAACTAATAAAAGCAATAACCAGTTAGAACAATGGAACAGTTCTTTAAGAATACAACAAACAACAAAATATCCAGTTCAGCAAGGAATTTATAAGACTAGCGGTAACTACAAAGCTGTGGATACTCACCATATTGTCCTTACCATTTGCTTCTTTCAGTATCAGTTAACTTATAGGATCAATGTACTTCAAATGAATACTCCAAAAGAATTTTAATTTGAAATAAAACAAGTGATTCTAAAAAGTTAACCGGGAAGCATGGAAGAAGTGAATACTTGGAAGAAGAATAGTTAAAATGGACACAAAGCTATAATGCTTTGATCAGTGGTACAAAGTAATCTACATACTGCAGTGTATGTAAAGATGTGTAAATTTAACACAGGTTCAAAGTCTTTGGTCTTCTATCTTTATGGTTAGCTGGGTTTTACGATGCAGAATATTTAGGATTTTTAAAAAGTAACATGTATATATCACATACACCCTGTTGAATTTCAAACAGCACATTTTAATAAGCACATTACTACTTTTCTAGTAATAAAATATGAATATCCCTACCAAATGAGATAGAGATTCATGTAGCCTCATGTCAAATCAGGTCAGGTTTTGCCATTAAATAATTCTGATGCTAAACTTAGGGAGAAAAATTGGTTGTTAGAACCTTTTGAATTTTAGAATTGTGAACAAGAAATTGTGAGTCAGTACAGAATAAGAGAGACATTTTAAGTAAATGTGTGTGCAGAGATAAACCTTAACCAGTTATACAGAGTCAAGTGGTTAAATGTTTAGGGATAAAATATACTCTGATCTTTATTTCACACCAGATATCAAAACAAATTTTATATGGGCTGGGAGCTAACTCCTAATTTTAATAAGAACTAAAAGCCGAGAAACCAGTGATGACGTCTTTCACTATATCTTTGGTAAGTGATAAGCACATGCCATGGCAGAAATGATAATTTGCTGGCAGGAATGTAAACTGAAAAAAATTTTCTGCAATAATTTGGCAAAATGTATTGAGATCCTTAAAAAGATGTATACTAAGTTTTTAATTTGGTAATTCCACTCTCTAAAATGTCTCCTAAGAAAACAGCTGATAACATAAATAGCTATTTGGTTACAAATCTGTCAGTGCTGTTTTTTTTTTTTTTAAGGACTTTCTAAGCTTTTTGTTCATTTATAAATTAAAATGACTCTTAATGGTTGTCATGGTTTTCTTTTTTTATAATATATAAAAACTGAAAAGCATTAGGAAGTTATATTTGCAGTTTAAGTTCAGGTATGTAGAAAAAATAGGAAAAAAGTATGCCAAATGTTAATTTTTTTTATAAAAAGAAAAAAGTCTGTTAAAAGTAAACATCTAATAATAAAGTCAAAACTTAATACAGAATTTCAAGAAGTTGAGCCTGTGGCCAAAGGATGGTGGCTTGAGAAATAATGAATGCAAAATACATAATAACAAGCATTTGAAATGACATCTTATTGAAGCTTCATACTTACTCTCCTTAAGAGTCATGACCTCTAGCCTTTGGCTGAGTGCTGATGGATGTTTCAACATACTACTGAAAGGTTTTAACAATATCCAGGGCTAAAATAATAAAATCCTTTAATTACAAAAATTCACACACTTGGCACACGTTGAGGGCATTAACCACTAAATAATGTCCAAAATAAAGAGTGGATCCTTACATGTAGTTATAAAAGGAGCCACAAGTAGTTTATGGTGTATATACTCTGACCCTGAAATGCAGTCCCTGGGCATCTGAATGTTAAAATAGGTCACCCGGGATATGCTCCAATTATGTCCAGGAATTTGGACTTTTGCTCTTGAACATGAAGGAAAGCTGCAAGCATGTAAGGTGTTTTTGGACCGTACCAAGTGCAGCTCTTGGCTAGTGCCTAAGAATCCTGAATAAAGTGAACTTACTTTGTGTAGGACTTCTTAGTACTTAGCACCTATTAATACATATTAACTGAATGAGAAGGAAATCTGTTTTCCAAGACTATGTGAACTTCTGAAAAAGTGACTTGCAAAGGAATTTAATGAAGGTATCTCATTTAATGAGAATGACTGCCAATATAAAGTAATTCAAACTTTTGCAGTTAATGAAAACATTTATTCAAACCTAACTGTAGTACAGGATCAAGTTGAGTTAAATGAACATTACGGGTATGATATGTAGTTCTTTAGGAAGAGACCCCCACCATATCATAGAAATTTTTAACAAGACGTATTTCTGCAGTAAGGTTCAGCAATTATGATGTGATTTCCACACTGAGAAATAGGAGTAGGATGGATTTAGTTTTTTAAAGGCCCATTATAAAAAAAAAAAAAAAAAAAAGGCTGAGGAAAATGACCCTTTAACAACATATACACCTGTAGAAAAAAATCCTTGATAATACTGATATTCAACCAAACAGAAAGCACTTAAGAGAATATACTTTAATCTAGGCACAATCGGTCAGATATTAATGATAATTTCTGTTCTCATTTAAAAGTTTAAACCAATTTTTCAACTTTACTGATGTGTGTGAGTTGATACAGAGAAGGCACCTCTTTCATTCTCCTTAAGGACTTTTTGAGAGTAATTCTTTAGAACACCGTAGGGGGCACAGAGACAACGCACTATATCTAAGTACAGATATAGTTATTCACAGCCCATTTTAGGAGAAACTAAATTAAAATATAAAACTATGATTTCTCTTTTTACATCTTATGATGGACATGGCTTTCTAAAAGGATACCAGAAGATAATCCTCCATACAAGCTTTAACATAGAATCCAAGATTTAAATTAAATGTGCACTGGTCACTACTATGTATGAAGTTCTATGAATTAGTGCAATTCTTCAAATCCCCAGTATATGGGAAAAAGTATATACATACCAAGAAATCTCAACTACTACATAAACTTTGTATGGCTCAATAGTCTAAACATTTAAAGTTCTGTAAAAGATCCTGAAAGTTATAAACAAAAGATCAGAACACTCAGATATGGTTTACAAAATTCTCTCTTTAGAACAAAGAGACCAGAACGACCAGGAGAAACACTTTAAAGTGTAAAACTTCAGGAATATAATCTTTACTGCAATTATAAGAAGGGGTAATAAAGTATTCACTCTAGCAAAAACCTAAATTGTTCATTTCTGATTGCTCCACCACCAATTGAGGTTGTCATCACCTTTGTACTACTTTGTGGCCGACTTTAAAGGTCTTGTATGACAGTTACTGAAGGCAATTTTATAAGGAAAAGCATTATTCCCCCCCCCCCCCCAAAAAGTGAGAAACTACTCCAGATGAATAAGCCTCAGTTAGGGATCACAAGTCAAAAAACACAATGTAAGAACACTAGGTTGATTTAACTTCTATTTCAACAAGATTTATACAATATTTACAATACGTAATTGTCAGAGCTATACAGTTTTGCAGATTGGCTTTACTTACATTTCTGCAAATGTTTTTCCCAAAATAAAAAATATACTAGGTAAATCTATTTACAAACTAGGAAGCTGCTTCAGAAACAGCATGATTCAGATATAAAGTGAAGTTTCAGTACAAGGAAAGTGCAGGTCATGCTTTTAGGTTCTGTCAATATCTCACTCCCTACACTCATAGTTTAAGGGATACGAGTTTTAAATAGCTACTGTTCTTTTATGTTCAGAATGTTTACTCATCATAATGCAATGATAACAAAAATTTGTCCACATCCATTCCAGCTGGAAATGAACTGGGTAGCTTCTTTTTCTGTCAAAAAAAAAAAAAAAAAAAAAAAAAAAAAGGGAAGGGGGAGAAAAAGAAATGAAAAAAGAAAGAAAAGAAAAAAAAAAAAAGAAAAAATAAACCTAAGTTAACATATTGAACTCAAACAAGGCCAAAAAACTTTCACTTAGAACCTTATATCGGGTTCTTCCTATACTACTAAAATTTTGCCAAAATTTTTAGTTGGTTGGAATTTTAGTTATACAGAGAAGTAGCAACACATTTTATAAATCCAAAGTTAATAAATTATACTTCAGTGGTACTTGAACATTAGTTTAGGGCAAAAGACATTAAACAAATTCAGAGTTTGTGAATGTTGAGACAAGACAGACCGTGCTTTCTATGAAGGTGGTCCTTTTCACCAAACCATAATAAGAGTCTCAGAAGCTTTCCTCACTACAAGTAACAGGTACCGTTCCAGTTCCAAACACTGAGCACACACTGGGCATCTGAGGGCACTACGTTTACTCCTCCCAGCCTCAGGTAAGACGTGTGGTAGCCTCACGTCAAGGGATGCAGCTGAGCCCCAGAGGCTCCGGGCTTACCCACCATCTCAGAACCAGTAAGCAGGAGATGCGGGGTTCAAACCCAGGCTTGCATGGCATCAAAGCCATGAATCTTTCCCTGACACCAGACCTGCCGTAAGACATTTTAAGCACCTTTCTTTCTATTCAGTTCATCTACTAAGTGGCTACACAGCTTCAGGAAAAACGGGTTTCGGTTCTCAATGCTATCCCCGCACTGCCTTTCTACAGATAACCTTGCCCAAAGGAAAAACAGGTGAATTTAACGTTTACACTGCTCCAACACGTTAACGTCTGTAAGAGCCAATGGAAGAGATGGCAGGACACGTGGAGAAAAACCCCAAGAGGTAGGAGTTGCAAAGGTGTTTTTTACCTGGTAGTTCCACACACAATAGTGGCTTCCCCATCTTTCATGCCTTATGTTATTCTCCCAAAAAACCTGGGTCCTACCACAACAAACAAAAACCTCCTTTCCCCAAGAAAGAGGTTCATCACTCAGTGCCTTAGCAACTGTTGGCAAATGCTTCACTTCACCTAGACAAATTCTGAGTACCATGCTGGCTGAGACACACTGCTACAGAATATGTTTTGTCAGCCAAGACCCAAAGCCGTCTTGACCAGAGGGTTCAGTGAGGCAGCTGCGGCAAAAATGCTGAGATCTCTAATGTGAGCACTGAAGGAAGGGCAAAGGTGTGGTTTTGAAATTAAGACTTTCAAACTTGCCTTGATTTTCTTCTTTTTCATTGGGAGTGATGAATTTGCAAGATTTTTATTAGAAGCACGAGAGGTGCGTTCACGTTCATCTAATTCCTCGATCTTCCGCTTTTTTGTGGTGCCCCGGGAAGATGCTCGGAACTGCTGGGTATTGTCTTTGAGAGGAGTCGCCGAGGCTGTCCTGGAGATGGCTGCTCTGGAGAGAATCATGAGGGTGTGGGCAGCCATGCTTACACTGTTCTCGCTCCCTGTCTCACTGGTAGGGCTACAGGCAGGCAAGTCTGGGGTGACAGGAGGGACCATTACCTTGGCTGTGCTACTGTCTTCAGCAAAACGCCGACTAGAGGGGACCTTGAGACCGTCTCTAGGCTCTTCTTTATGTTTGTCCCCTGCCCCTGAGCCAGATGTCCGGGAGACAGGTGCATCAGAACTATCGGGGAGCCTATTGACGGGGCTAGGCCACTGGCCATCCGGCAACACTTCGGTGGCATGTTTGGTTAGTGGGCTAATCAGAGAACTGGCACATTTCGTTTGTTCTTGTTTTGGATCCTTCACAGTTGCACCTACTGAAATGACATTTCTACTATTTGAGGATGTGCCTTGTTTTTTGGTTAGTTCTTGCAGTGAAGCTATGGTTTTCTCATTCCGTAAACCCCCATTTTGCTGTCCGTTTGACAGTTTTGAAGTTTCTGGATTTTTCTGCCTTTCGACATCACTGCATAATTCATTCTCCTTATTAGCTGTTGCTTTATGGAAAGATTCAAGTACAATTTCTGTTGGTGAAACTTTCTTTTCTGACTGGGTTTCTTTTACGGTGGTATGTCGGCTACTGGCAGTTTCTGATTTAGATAAAATCTTAGGCAAAGGTGGTCTCTCTCTCTCCCTTTTGAGAGCATTATTAGAAGGGGGTTTTAAGGCGGAGGACACAATGGGTGACTCGAGATTAGGAAATGCAATGTCATTCCTTTCTTTGCTCTGGGACACCATCTTATGGTCTGTGCCCCGCGAATCCGCCACAGGACAAGCAGTGCTATCAAAACAGAGCACGCGTCGGTGGCTTTCGAATGGTCTGCTAGCTGGAACTACGCTCTCTAATGAGAAGGGGGCTGTCATTTCTTCCAGTTTTTTCCCAAGATCTGTGGCCATACTCTTGTCAGACACTTCAGTTCTGCAAAATAAACAAGGAAGTATTTTTAGCAACATAAAGACATCCTTTATGTTTTCAATCTGAGCAAAGAATCTATGACGGAAAATACTTTTATGCTCACCTTTGTGCATGACATCCAACTAAATGACTAGATGAATCCACCAAATTATTTACCTGCTTTCCTGGAATTATAAATGGAATAATTAGAAAAGGAAAACATTCCTGAGAGAAAGAGTACATTACTCTGAAAGAAAATGGGACAGACATCACACACCATGAGAAAAATTTCAAATGACAGCTAATGTAACAAATGAAGTACTCTCACCTACTGGGTTTAAAAAGCAGCTTCTAATTATTATTATTATTAAGATTTTATTTATTTACTTGACAGACAGCACAAACAGGGGGAGCAGGAGAGGGAGAAGCAGGTTCCCCGCTGAGCAGGGAGCCCGATGCGGGGTTCGATCCCAGGACCCCGGGATCATGACCTGAGCCGAAGGCAGCCACTTAACTGACCGAGCCACCCAGATGCCCCCACAGCTTCTAATTTTAGATACAAGACAAGATGATCATTCATCCATTTTATTTTTTATTTTTTTAATTTTTAAAATTTTTTTTTAAAAGATTATTTATTTATTTATTTGACAGAGAGAGAGAGACAGCGAGAGCAGGAACACAAGCAGGGGAAGTGGGAGAAGGAGAAGCAGGCTTGCCGCTGAGCAGGGAGCCCGATGTGGGACTCGATCCCAGGACCCTGGGATCATGACCTGAGCTGAAGGCAGACGCTTAACGACTGAGCCACCCAGGCGCCCTCATTCATCCATTTTAGAGAGGAAATACAGATATGGAGCAAATGACTTGCTTCAACTTTAGGCAAGTATTGAGTCCAGCCTCTGGATCTATGAATTATAATGTTCAACATAGCACTTAGGGGTACTCCTTAGGTCCAGAAAGTTAAAGAAAGCAATGTATTATGCCTATTTTGAAATTTTGCTGATGTGACTGTCATGTTTGCAAGCCTATGTCAGGCAGAGCACAAGCTCTGGAGTTTTAATAGCCATATTTTAATTTCTAGGGACTTAGGAATTTATGTGGGAGAGCAGGAAGATACTAAGCTGGAGAGGTAGGCAGAGATGAGATTAGGAAGGACCTTGTGCCTTATGCAAGAAGTTTCAGAGAGAATCCTTAAGAGTTTTAAAGAGGGAACAGGAATAAATAGACTTGTGCTTTGGAAAGTCACTCTGGCAGTAGTCGAGAAGGTGGGCTAGAGAAGAAAGAAAACTGCCATCCAAAATTCTCAAGTGGCTGTCAATAGTCCAGGTAAGAGATGATGGAGACAGTGATGGGCGTTCACACAGATACGAAGGGTCAAGGAGGACTGCATGGTGACATTAACCAAGGAGAAAAGCAGGCAGAAGGTCTCTGCGGAGCAAGAAGGGAGCCTGAGACACGGAGAATCTGAAGGTCTGGAGTCAGACAGAATCACGAAGGCAGGAGTGCAGTAATTTAGTGGTGGGTCCAGAAACCACCAACAGTGTCAACAGCCAGAGGGAAGTAAGGTCAGGATGGAAAACATCCAGAGGCACTGATGATCTCAGTTTAAACAGTTTTAGTGGAAACATGAGAAAAGACAATGTGGATAAAGAAAGCATGGGAGACAGAAATTGGGGATGAAGGGTTGGCAGGTGAGACAAACCCAAGGAGCTTTACAGCCAGAGAGGGAAGAAGGATCCAAACAAGAAAAATATAGGACATACAGAAGACAGAAGATGCAGGTAGACGGCATTAACTGTAGAAAGGACGAGAGCATTATTCCTGTAAGAAAGGAACGAGAGGAAGTAGAACAGGTACACACCAAATGGGAGTGCTGTGGGAAATTGGAGTTTACTACTTATTGATCAGGTGGGAGAGAAGATCACTGGCCTAGAGTGAGGAGGGTGGGGGCTGGGTAGGTAGGAGAAGAGCTGTAGGAGTCTGGAAGAGTTTGAAGGGGGAATGGGAAAGAAAGATAGGAAGACACTTGAAATGGCCGCTAAGTGGCACTAGTGAGGGTGAGACATTTTTAAAGTGGTCGTGAACGGCCCCACTTCTAAAGCAATGCTGAAAAGCCCAGGTACAAAGGCAGAGAGGGATGTTTGGAAAGATCCAGGGCTGGAAGGCAAGGGGGATGGTAGAAGAATGTGCACATGAAGGTGTTTAAGAGTCCTTGGAAGAGTGGCTGAGGTGGTGGACTGTGGGTCTAGCCTGGATGGGAAGGAAGGGAATCCAGGAAGGAAACAGAGGTTCAGGGAAAAGTGAGGATTCGAGTAAGGGGAGCCCTTACTGGCTGAAGAGCGTCACTGTATGGGAATGAGAGTATTTTGAGACAGGTTACTGGCCTTTAAAAACTGCACAGGGTAGTACGAAGGGAAACATTAAAGGTGAAGCTATGGGAGAGATTAGGGGCCATGAAGATCAAGACTTAGAAATGGAAGGTGTCCAAGAATTCTGAGGGCTAGGATGGTGGGTAGGCTGACGACGTGGGCATTGTCATCCACGAAGATGGAGAAGTTGGAGGCAGAAGTCTGATGCAACCCCTCAATGAAGACCTGGTGTTATTTTGTAAATAGGGTCTTTCGTTGAACAGAAACCTTTAATTTTGGAACAGTCATGCTATCAACTTTTTCCACTTATAATTGTGTTTTTTTGCATTTTTATAAAGCAATCCTTTTATCCCTTTGTCTCTAAGATATTCTCTTACATTTCTTTTACTGCTTAACTGTTTTGCTTTACACTTTTAGGTCTTTATTTTATTAGGTCTTTATTTTATTTTATTTTTTAAAGATTTTATTTATTTATTTGAGAGAGAGAGAATGAGAGACAGAGAGCATGAGAGGGAGGAGAGTCAGAGGGAGAAGCAGGCTCCCCGCCGAGCAGGGAGCCCGATGCGGGACTCGATCCCAGGACTCCAGGATCATGACCTGAGCCGAAGGCAGTCGCTTAACCAACTGAGCCACCCAGGCGCCCCTACACTTTTAGGTCTTTAATCATCTTAGATGATTTGTGTATGGTTTGAGGAAGGGATCTAATTTTTTTCCTAGAACATATATATAATAGCCAATAAATCTATTAAACGATCCTTCCTGTCCTCTGTGACTTCTGATGCTATATCCACCACATACAAGTTCTCATAAGTACATGGTCTCTTTCTGAACTCTATTTTGCTCCATTTGCCTTTTAGTTTAGATAACTAAAATCAAAACAAAACAAACAGAAAACCAACTTTAAGCAAAGACTGGAAATCACCCGTTAGGAATGAAACAGGTCTTCGGCAACAAGCACCGTGGTGCTGCTGTAAACAATGAGCATACAGACATCAAAGCGACATTAATGAACATAAAGATGTACCTGTACCAAGCTTGTTTCTTAGTCCCTGAGTCTTCTGAGACTTTGGAGGGATGGGGATTTGAGGGATACTTCTACTGCACACAGGTGCTGCCAAAGGCATATGAAGGAGCTGGAAGAGAAGCGGCCATGAATGATTCTCGGTTTGAAAAGCATCGCTGCGCCACTTTCAGTTCAGAACTCTCACCTGCTGAGGAGCAGCAGAAAAGGTATTTCCACTCTGTCCAACCACAGACACAGGGATCATTCCCACCATTCCTTGGAGCACAGGTTGGACGGGAGAAGCAATTATGATGGCAGAGCCTGAAAAAAAAATTCTCCGTAAGACTCTCTCTCAAACAAGACTCCAAAGTAACTATTAATTTAAATTCTCTAAAATTATAATCCTTTTACCTTAGAATCTGCTTTTTTGTTGAAGATTTTATTTGAGAGCGAACAAAAGCGAGAGATCACAGAGGGAGAGGGAGAAACAGACTCGCTGAGTGGAGAGTCTGATGTGGGACTCGATCCCAGGACCCTGGGATCATGACCTGAGCCGAAGGCAGATGCTTAACGACTGAGCCACCCAGGCGCCCCCTGACTCCTCTTTTAAAAGAGGTTATTTTAAACAACACTTCAAACAGATCCATCAGGCTACTAGTTAATTGTGTGTATTTATTCAGATTTTATTATATGCCTACAATATTAAGAAAAGGGGGAAAGGAGCTTGGGAAGCAACACGTAAGGCAAGGCAGATAAATGTATCATGTATCCTCAGCTCCATCTTCAAGGATCACTGACACCAATGAATTTCATAACTTATAGCAGATTTAAAACAAGGTATGGCTGAATTCATCAGGGAGAGAAAAGAGGGGGCATAATCACAAATTTCAGTCTTTTCTCATACTGTCCAGCCACGATTTCATTCCTCCTAGTCAATAAATGCACACACAAGAGAAATTAGGTCGTCCCATTCCAGAGAAATGAACATCAGTGTGTTCTTAAAGTTACCTTGTGAAAAGCTGGGTGACACAGTGTGGTTGACAGCGAACACACTGTTTGACCTCGGGGGTGTCTGTAACTGGGGCAGCGGTGGTGGAGCGGTCACGGGGGCAGAATTTCCAGGCAACACCACCACATTAGACTGACTTCCAGCTGTTCCTAAGGCTGTTGGATCGGTCACGCACGTAGCTATGAGAATGTTATTTGAATTGCCAAAAGTCGTGCTCGTAGCTGGCATCAACTGTATGTACCCCCCATCCTTGGAGACACATGGTGTGACGGTGGATGAGAAAGCGCCGCTGCCTTCATTCTGAGCGCCGTTTCCGGCAGAGTCCTCGGGTTTGAGGGCCAGAAGGCTCTGTTCCCCTGGTGCGGAATCCCCTAGTCTGTCAGCAGATGGGACAGCAACTGCAGTCTCTTCTGAAGACAGGCATTTAACTAATTCTGCATCTTTGGCAGGAGACTTGGCAGGAGAGGACAGTATTATAGTCGGCAAGTTTTCCCCACTGATACTGGAAACAGCACTGTTCAGTTCAGTATCCGAGGAAACAAATGGATCGTCACTAATGATAATTTTGAGAGAGACAATATTTGATGCATCTATGTCTGCTGAATTGTCCACTGCAGGTTTTTCACCAGTCTTTTGGGACTCAGCAGGAGAATCTCCCACTGAAGAACACACAGATTCTGAAGGAGGAGACTGCTTCTCTTCCAGAGGATGACCTTCCGGAGCCATCAGTGCAACCTCCCCGCAGTTACCAGCTTCCCCTAAAGTGAGAAAAATACTATTTCCGTCTCCCTTTAAAGACGCAGGCTCTTGTGAATCGACAGCGACTTTCTCAGACGTGGAGGGCTGACTTTCATGTTTTTCCGTACGACTTAACTCAGGTGCTGATGAATCCTCAGATGGCTGTTTAAGTGAAGACACTGAATCTTCAAGACGACTGTCTACTTGTTCGGAGACGTTTAAACCTGAACTTTCAACTGACACAGGTAGTATTTTACTTGGAAATGAAGAATTATCTTGGCAGTCTGCACGTTGTGAGGCAACTGGCAACCCACCGTGAACCTCAGTTTTATTCTGGTGCATTTCTCTAGGGTCTGACTTAGAACCAGGGAGAGTAGTAGTTTTAAGTCTTGCTGTGTTGTTAGAGCTTTCACAAAACTGACTTGTTTTAGATGTCTTTCCAGTTAATGGAATAGTTTGGGATAAAAGCTGAGAACTCTTCCCAGAGAGAATTAAGTTTTCACCGTTAGTTTCACCACCAAGGGAAACAAATGACGTCATTGGTAGAGCGGCCGGATCAGGCTGCAAGGGAGGTTCCTGCGGTGTGTTGGACAGCAGAGAAGTCTTTCCAACCTCCATCGTCATGGCGGTGTCGGTGGGCATCTGATGGGCGTACAATTCAGCACAACGCTGATTACATTCAGCATCAGCATTTATTCTTTGGTTAAAGTCATTCAAATGAGGCACAGACTCAAAGGTAATATCAAGGTTACACTTCTGTCCATTAGGTACAACTGTTTTAAATGCCTTTTTCTGGATGCTAGAGCCTATCTGAGGAAAGTGTTCCTGGGCTTCCTGCCCAAGCTCCTCATGGTTGCTGCTATTCTTCAAAGCATTTGAGGTGTCTTCATTTTGATAGGATGCACAAAATGGGGGCTGCCCAGACTGATCATCTGCAAAATATAAGGATGGTAGAGACAGTGAATATGTAATCATTTCTGAGGGAGTCACGCTGACTGTTTTGCCTCCTTGGAAGTAACTCATCTTTGATATACCAGTTAGCAGAAGTCTGAAAAGCCGTATCTCACGTTTTCCGAGTATCAAAAAACGTACAGGTACTTTTTTAAAAAATTACTGATGCCTTTTTAAACAAGGGCCAAACTGTTTTTCAAACCTCTTAGAAAACAAGTGACGCAAAGAAGGAAAAAGTATATAGGTTTAAGAACATCTAATGTTTATCAGTATGTAAAAAACCTGGCCCCATATGTGCAGTTTTTTTCAAAATAGCTGACTTTTCAACTTGTACCATTTCTATTGACCTTACTTTATTGGATATATTCTTCAAGGTGAAATGGGCCAAGTACATTTTGTATGATCAACATCTGATGTTATCATGTCCTGTTTGGAATCTTCAACACAGACTTATTAAAGATCATCAACCACATGATTAGGGCTGGGATAAAAGACGAACGACCTAGTCTCCACCCTTGGGGAGATCAGTCTATTAAGGGAAGCAGACATAGAAAGAGATGATAAAACATGTAAAAACTGTTAATAGTATAGGAGCAAAAGGCAACTCTTTCTGCCTAACGGATGTGACAAAGTGCTAAAAAGGAGATCTTAAAAAAGAAAAGAAATGTGATCGCTGGAGTAAGAAGAAAGGGCGTTTCAGGAAGTAACACAGCATTGACATACTGTGTTATAGAGCACTCACAGTGTAGGACAGAGAACAGTAATAACAACAATATGAAAAACATAGGGAAAAATCTGGAAAAATGTCTGTCACCTATGATTCTGTTAATGTGACACTGGTAAATGATCTTTGGTTCAGAGAACCTTTGAATCCTTCTGAGGGGAGACGGGCAGAAATTACATCCAGGCCACGTCAGTTTCAGTGAAGTGGTAAGACTCTGAGAGAATGAGATTTCGAGTTTCATTCTGTGCCCAGTAGAGCGCTTAAGTGAAGCATAATCTTCCACACAAAATGACACTGTAATCCAGTCCAAGAAGAATTAGAGGATTGGGCTTCAGTGTAGGCAGAGGATTCAGAGTGGGAATGTAGTCTGAGATATTCCCAAACTACTTTTTGGAAGACATGATGTGAAACTTAGAAGCCATCAGGTTTTTTTTTGGCAGTTGGAGGGGTAACAGCATTTAAGAAGACAGACAAAAAAAGATTACTTTGGCATAACTTGTTACTAGCAGAACAGATAAAGGTGATGCTAAAAAGGCGCGAAGTTTAGCACGTGTGAGATGCAAGAGTAATGGTTATTTCTGAGAAAAAGCTGGAGGGTTTAGTGTTGGGAAGGGGTATGAAGCGAGGCTTTTTCGTGCCGGCAGTGTTCTATTTTTTGATTTGGGAGATGGTTATACAGGGTATTTCCTTGGCTATAATTCAGTGAGATACACATATTTTTATTGTGCACTACTGTGTAAGTGTTACGTTTTACAAAATTAAAACAATTGGCAAATATGTAAAGGAGGTAAGATGGACATATTCACTGCCTTCCCTCAGTCAGTAAGTAGTTACTGTGGGTCAATTAGGTGCCATATTGGTACTCCACTGCTACCTCATTGGTATGGGAGGGAGAAATGAAAAAACTGACTTAGTAGACACATAGGAATATGACCTAAAGCCTTATAAGATCCATACTGCAAGACTATCACTACAGTATATAGCTTCCTTGAAATAAGTGAGATATGGATGCTGAGCAGTCAGCTGAACTTGCTTACCAGGCTGAATGATTAATACCACATACTAACCTTACATAGCAAGGATCTGAATTCATGCCACAAAAAAATTATGTTAAATGTTATTGTTTTTTGTCAAACTGGACCACACCATTAATACTAAATTGTGCATGCAAGAATCTGTTGCATCACGAAAGAATGAGTACTAAAAATTCACCTTTTATTCAAATTACTAAAAGGCTTGGGTTTTTTTTTCTTTAATGAGAAGAAAAAACTTAAAACCCCCCCCCCCCCACACACAACAAATCCTATGTGGCAATTTGAACAACTTCCAAATTAAACAGTATTGTCTGCCTTTGAAATTCTGAAACTGGTATTAGGATTTAGATGGAAGATATTAACAAAACCAAATTCTTACCAGACTGTTCTGTTTCAAAAGAACCTTTAACTGCTAGATTAGTTCCATCTGCTAAGACTACACCGGTATTGGTTTCCAGATGCTGACTGGAAATGCCTTGTGACATATTTTTATTATTCTTTGATTTACCTGTTAAAAAGGGAACAGGGAAACAACTGGTTAAATTATCAAAATAAAAATAAGCATCAGTTAATACAGCCTGATGGTGATTAAACAAATGTTAGACTTTATGTTAAAGTTATGGTCTTCTGGATGTTTTTAACACGTTGCCTTGTCTATCACTGACAAAAACTAAGATTTTTCCAACAGACTGGTAGTTCTTAAACTTTAGCCTGTATCAGAATCATCTGGAGAATCCAAGAATTTGCATTTTTAACATGTTCTCAGATCATGTTGTATGCTGGGATGGAGACTACACTTTGAGAACAGTGGCCAAATTCTTGTATTCCGTACGACCCAACTGTGTTTAGGGCAACGTATGTGCAGTAGTGATGTCAACGTATTTGTGCTGACTGCCAATAATGCTCACAAAATATACAAAAGGTTCTCCATTTTTACAGCTCAAGTTTAAGAAAAAGATAACTCCCACCGCCCCTTTCATAGCCATATGTTTGCTTTGATGAAAACAGGACATTTTTTCAGATGCTCTGGGAATGTTGCTTCAGTCTGGTTAAACTGCCAAAGAAATTAAAACTTTTTTCTTCTAACTGCCTTGAAATGGTCTACTTACCATAGTCAAAGAGATCAAAGAGTGCCTGAAATGCTGGATCTGATTCTGTTTGTTCCAATATATCCTGTATCGCTTCCTCAGACATATGGATCTCACTCTGCAAAAAAAAGTGATCCTAATTGAATTAGTATATGGCTTAATACCAGCAAAATAATTAGAGGGCATATGATACTCTCATTTTTTATAAATAATTACTTCCCTCCATGAAAATTTCTTCTGATTCTAACACTAGGGTCATTTGAAACAAATAAAAACAACCACACCAGAAGGTAGAAGTGAATGTTCCCTAATTCTACTCCCTAGAGTTAACTGCTTTGGTGAATATATTCCCCAAATTAAAATAAAATGAACATAGGAACTATAGTTATCTGTGTGTGTATACAACTTAAGTCACACTATAAATGTTTTCTTCAACTTGACATCCAGCACTAAGTTTACAGTGTGCGGCGTAATGCCTTGACCTACATGTGCTGTGAAATGATGATCACAGTAAGTTTAGTTAACATCCATCATCTCATGCAGATACAAAAATAAGAAAAATTTTTTTTCCTTGTGAGAACTCTTAGGACCTACTTTCTTAACAATTTTCAAATATACAACACAGCAGTGTTAACTAGTCATGATGGTGTACATTTAAGCCCAATACTTATTTATCTCTTATTTAGAAGTTTATTTTTGACCACCTTCTTCCAATCCCCACCCCCACCTCAACTCCCAACCAATACCCTGTCTTTAGTAACTGCAAATATGATCTATTTTCCTATTAGTTTGGGTGACTTCTATATAAATCTTGCCCCTTTTATCTCTCTGCTTTGGTCTCTTAATATTAAATGCTTTCTTCAAATGTTGTACAATCCTTGCTCGTCTGTTCACATTTATCCTAAGATTTTATTTGTCAGAGAGACTAGGGCCTTCATTTACTCTAATAGTTAGAGAATTAAAATTCTCAATTTTAGTTATTTATAAATCATCCCACAATGTCGTATTCTTCAAGATTAGTAAGGCATACATTTGAATCCCATGAGACAGGAAATTCACATGGAACAATGTTAAAGTGGAACTTTCATGAACTGATAAAAGCTTGGGAGTTTTTATAAAAATGCTTATAAAATGAAAAGAAAAACTTGTTTGAAATTAAAGAGCCAGTTCACTTTAATTATGAAGATGTACAGAGAACATCAACAATTCTCAATGAAATATGATTTGGGAGGAGTCCAGGAGCTTGAACAACTGTTTCTATATCCAGGAACTTGAAAATACAGTAATGTAAATAATGTCGAGAACACGATGTAATTGAATTATGAAACACTGGATACAGTCTTATAAAAATTAATGTTGACGAAATGCATTTTTCTAATAAGTCATTTTATTCTCAACTGTAAATATTAGAATCAAAAGAACCCTGAAATGAATGTTCCAAAGGTAACTGCAAATCAATCTTCTAATATTTTTAAAACTCAAGGTATAATTTACACACACTAAAACGCAAAGAACTTAAGTCCACAGTTCAGTGAGCTTTGACAATTTTAAGGACTGTGCAACCACCACTCCAATAAAAAGTGTGAAACAGGGCACCTGGCTGTCTCAGTTGGTGGAAGTCTGCAACTCTTGATCTCAGGGTTGTGAATTCGAGCCTCTTGTTGGGTGTAGAGGTTACTTAAAAATAAAATCTTTAAAAAAAAAAAGGTAAACATTTCCACCGCCCAAGAAAATCACACATCTATACACACCATTCCCTTTTCTAGAGCATTCCTCCTTTGGCAAATTAGTACCCTCACCCTCACCCAAACAATTTCTGATTTCTATCAGCATGAATTTGTGTTGCCTGTTTTAGAACTTCATATAAACAGAAGCACACCACTATATACATACATTCTTTTAGTCTATCTTCTTTGATCAACATATGTTTGAAATTCATCCATGTTGTTATGTGTATCGGTAGCTCAGTCCTTTTTATTCTTCACCAGTATTCTATGACTGTCAAAATTTGTTTATTCCTTTTTTGTCGATGGACATCTGGTTTTAGTGTTTGTCTATTAGGAACAAAGCTGTTACAAATATTCTGGTAGAAGTCTTTTTATAAACATGTGAACATATTTCTTTCTCTTGGGTAAAAACCTAGTAACTGCCAGATCATAAGGAAAGTGTATAGGTGTATACATAACTTTGTTAGCTATCAGTTTTCCGAACAGATTATACTATTTCATAACTTCTCATCAGCAATTTTTCAGAGCTCCAGTTGTTTCACATCCTTGTGAACATCTGGTATTGTCAGATCTTTAACTTTCAGCCATTGTAGTGAATGTGAAACGGTATCTCACTGTGTTCTTAACTTTCAATTCCCAAATGACAAACAGTTATTTTTTCATGGCCTTAGTGGCCATTCCTCTATCTTCTTTTGTCTGGTCCAATCTTTCACCCCTTTCTTAAAATGGGTGGTTTATCTTATTATTATTATGGAAGCTCTTTCTATACTTCGGATGAAAATATCTTGACAGATGCATGTGTTATAAGTATTTTCTCCAAGTTGGTGGTTTGACTTTTAATTTTTTGTTAATGATGATTTTAATAAGCAGGTATTTTAAGTTTTAAGGAAGCTTTTTTTTTTTTTTTTAACAGTGATTTGTGTAGCCTAAGAAGTCTTGCCTTCTGCAAGGTCACAAAGACTTGTAAGTATTTTTAAAATTCTTACTTCACCTATTTATACAACTGGCTAATTACTTCTCAGTGAATCTGATGTTTTTACTACTCAGTTGGGCAATTTGTCTTGCTGTTCTTTTAAAAAGTTATTTAAATCTGAATTTAACTTTTCCCAAATATACAGTATTACAAAGCAAGGGCAGAGGGTTGTTTTCTCTTACAACGTCTCACAGTATTTAGCACAGTGCCTTGATTATGGGAAGTATCTGATGTTTGTGGAGAAAATATAAACAAGCAATTGAAGACCATAAAAATTTAGAATAGGGTGTATTCATTTGTTAAACATTAAGACAGGAGAAGTTTTTAAAAAGAAGTACCGGTAGATAATTTAAAGTCGCTTTAAAAAGTTCGTCATATTTTGTTAAATTTACTGAACTTCACTACGGGAAAATGTAGCAAATTGTTTTTTTTAAAGTATTCTGAAGGAAAGACCAAAAAAAAAAAAAAAAAAAAAAATTCAGTGGTTTTTACCTAGAATTCACCTGAAAGCAAACCTGCTATAATGAATTCGTTTGGTGGGCACGGCAACAAGAATGGATTACACCGTCCGAGAGTCCAAGTCAAAGGATGAGTTACCATCACAATCTCAGCGGCTCTTGACTAAGGATATGTGCACATGAACAAATCTTTTTTTTTAAAAAAACACATGAACAAATATTAAAGATAAATTGTCGGGGCGCCTGGGTGGCTGTTGTTAAGCATCTGCCTGTGGCTCAGGTCATGATCCCAGGGTCCTGGGATCGAGCCCCGCATCAGGCTCCCTGCTCGGCGGGAAGCCTGCTTCTCCCTCTCCCACTCCCCCTGCTTGTGTTCCCTCTCTCGCTGTCAAATAAATAAATAAAATCTTTAAAAAAAAAAGAAAAAAGATAAATTGTTAAAGTCTTCCTTTACCAGCTGATGTTCTTCCATCTTCACCATCACTAAATAGCAACAGTAACTACAATCCCATCTTCCTTCTCTTGGCAGTAAACTTCACACAATTTATTCATTTAGTTAGTAACCTTTCTTTTTTAAAGTGTTTTGTTCGTTTTACTTGGATTCATTATATACCTTTAACACGGTTTCTTCGTTTCCTTACATTTTTATGCAGTTTCTCCACGTTGGACAGTAGTGCGTTGCGACACAAACATACCACTTACGAATCTTTAAGTGTCGAGTACTTAGATATCCCCTGACCGACTGCTGTACGGCTACAGTAAACTGTCTCACTGAAAACGTGGAAGAATTAGAGCTATTAAATGGGTCAGAGATGTCTTACTGCTTTTACCATTTAAACAGTACAATTTACACTGATTATATGTTCTCAAGAACAGGTTACATTTATGTTTGGATAATGAAGGAAATCTTTATCTAAAATTATTATCTTAAATAATTTTATACATCTGTTGGCAATGGTTTTTTTTTTTGGTCAAGATTTTATGTTATTTAAGTAATCTCTATACCTAACATGGAGCTCAAACTTCTAACCCCAAGATCAAGAGTCGCATGTTGTACTGACTGAGCCAGAAGGCACTTCTTGGCAATGGTTTTGAAATGAAACCAAAATACCATCAGTTTTAACTAGGAGTATATGCACTACAAACACACACCCTAACCTGTACCTGAAGTCCCAGGAGTTCATCAATTGAAGTCTCTGGTTCCGTAGGGTTGCTCTCTGTTTGCTTAGGTATTTGTGCAATATTGTTGTCGCTGTAATACAGAAAGAAAAATTTTTACCATAGCTCTCAATTAGATGAAAACAATTAGGCATCATCAACACACATAGCTTACCTAGTCAAAAATTTATTAATGTTTTCCGCAAGCTTTTCTTGAAGAGACTTGTTACTTAATATTTTTTCTCGTGCATTTTCAATAACCATTTGCTGGAAAAGAAAGTCAATATTAGTAAAGGAATAGGGCAGACCTTCTAGTTAACGGGAGCTAGCTAGTTTTAATAAATCTAGGTGGAAACTCAGAAGTTACCGTGGCTCCGTTTGTATAAATACTTGAATACTACACAAGTGTTACCACAGGTCCCTCACCAACTTTCTTCACTGATTACAAAACAGTTCCAAACTCCAAATTTTCATACAAGGTTTTTAATAATGACTCCAGTAAAATGGCCTACTATGTTGCATAATCCAGCACCCACAGTGTATTTATTGTTCCCTAAACATAGCACTGCTTCTTACCTGGGGCACTCGCACAGGCTATCTATTCTAAATGGACTGTCTCCTACTCATACACTTTACTACGCTCTATCCCAAGGAAATTACCCTGGAGTTTTATAGAAATACTGTAACACACACACACACACGCATGTAAATATCACTATTTTAAAACTCAGGAATATCTAAAACTGCAAAGCTTGGTAAGGTCACTTACTTTTTCTACTGCAAATGCATTTGGATCCTGGAAATTCCGTATCGTTGAATGAGGCCCAGACAAAGTGTTACTTTTCCTTTGAGATTCACTGAAACACATTTTAAAGCTTGTCTTTTAACTAGTATGAAAAACAGATTCAATGATAATTACATATAGAGATATAAATCTTAAGGTCATGGAAGAACAGGTATTTTCCCTCCCTGTGGTAGCAACAAAGGGCAAGAGTAGAAAACCATTACTACACCGGCATTAATAAGAAATGACTCTGAGGTCCAGCTTTACCAATTGCTATGTGGTCTGTAGCAAGGTAAGTTCTATTTGTTTTATCTTTGAGGTTTATTTATTTGACAGAGAGAGAGAGAGAGCGCTCGAACGCATAAGCACAAGCAGGGGGGAGCGGCAAGCAGAGGGAGAAGCTGGCTCCCTGCTCCCAGTTCTGACTATTTGACCTACTTTATAACGGGGTAAGATCAACTGCATTATTGGGTTTATGATAGAACCGAATAAGGGGCGCTTAGTGGCTCAGTCGTTAAGCGTCTGCCTTCGGCTCAGGTCATGATCCCAGGGTCCTGGGATCGAGCCCCGCACCGGGCTCCCTGCTCCGTGGGAGGCCTGCTTCTCCCTCTCCCACTCCCCCTGCTTGTGTTCCCTCTCTCGCTATCTCTCTGTCAAATAAATAAATAAAATCTTAAAAAAAAAAAAAAAGAACCGAATAAGATGAAATACGTGTAAAAACTATTTTTTTTTAATTTTATCTTTTTTTTTTTTTTTTTGGAGACCGTGCACACAAGCTGGGGTGTGGGGAGAGGGCCAAGAGAGGAGAGAGAATCTTTTTTTTCTTTTTGCAGTTTATTATAATTCTTAATATCTTTCTTGGCAATTTTTTAAAATTTAAATTTAATTAACATATAGTATATTATTAGTTTCAGATGTAGAGTTCAGTGATTCATCAGTCTTCTGTAACATCCAGTGCTCATTACACCACATGCCCTCCTTCACGCCCATCACCCAGTTACCCCATCCCCCCCTCCTACCTCCTCTCCAGCAACCCTCAGTTTGTTTCCTAGGATTAAGAGTCTCTTACGGGGCGCCTGGGTGGCTCAGTTGGTTAAGCGACTGCCTTCGGCTCAGGTCATGATCTTGGAATCCCTGGATCGAGTCCCGCATCAGGCTCCCTGCTTGTCAGGGAGTCTGCTTCTCCCTCTGACCCTCCCCACTCTCATGTGCTTTTTCTCTCTCTCATTCTCTCTCAAATAAATAAATAAAATCTTTAAAAAAAAAAAAAAAAGTCTCTTACGATTTGTCTCCGTCTCCGATTTTGTCTTATTTTTCCCTCCCTTCCCCTACGATCATTTTGTTTCTTAAATTCCACATAAAAGTGACATCTTATGAAAATTGTCCTTCTCTGGTTGACTTATTTCACTCAGTTGCGAGAATCTTAAGCAGGCTCCACACCCAGCATTGAGCCCAACGTGGGGCTCGACATCATGACCCTGAGATCACTACCTGAGCTGAAATCAAGAGTCAGACGCTTAATTGACTAAGCCACCCAGTGCCCCTGTGTAGAGATTTATAAAAAGGCCAAAGTTTCTATAAATGTTAGATACTGTCATAGTTGTTTTATTATTAAAACAATAAAGGAGGCTGAGGTCAGCGTTGAATGAGAGACAACCAACAGTAAAAACAAAAATATCCATGGCATGGCAGTTAAGAAATTAGAAGAAGTATTTAAAAACTATTATCTCTCTTTTCTGAAATATCCTTCAAACAAAGACACACAGGTTAAGGCAGAAAGAACTTTGGTCTCAAAGACTCCCTGAAAAAATTTCTGACCTTAAAAACTTGAAATATGTGTTTGTGGACATGCTAGTATTATTCCTATTTATTTAAAAAATTGATTGATTTATTCATTTGAGGGACAGAGAGAGAGCACAAGCAGGGGGAGTGGGAAAGGGAGAAGAAGGCTCCCCAGTGAGCTGGGAGCCTGATATGGGGCTCGATCCCAGGACCTCGAGATTATGACCTGAGCTGAAGGCAAGATGCTCAACCACCTGAGTCATCCAGGCGCCCTAAAAAACACACTTATTTAAAAAAATCTGAGATACCACCAATCTTTTTTTTTTTTTACCACCAATATTTTTAAATTTAATTTTATTATGTTGTTAGTCCCCACACAGTATATCATTAGTTTTTGATGTAGTGTTCCATGATTCACTGTTTTCGAATAACACCCAGTGCTCCATGCAGTACATGCCCTCCCTAATACCCCTTACCAGGCTCACCCAATCCACCCCCCCCAAACCCTCAGTTTGTTTCTTGGAGTCCACAGTCTCTCATGGTTTGTCTCCCCCTCTGATTCCCCCCCTTCACTTTTCCCTTCCTTCTCCTAATGTCCTCCATGCTATTCCTTATGTTCCACAAATAAGTGAAACCATATGATACTTGACTTATTTCACTTAGCAAAATCTCCTCCAGTCCCATCCATGTTGATGTAAAAGTTGGGTATTCATCCTTTCTGATGACTGAGTAATACTCCATTGTATATATGGACCACGTCTTCTTTATCTATTCCTCTATTGAAGGGCATCTTGGCTCTTTCCAGTTTGGCTATTGTGGACATTGCTTCTATGAACATTGGGGTGCATATGGCCCTTCTTTTCACTACTACTGTGTCTTTGGGGTAAATAACCAGTAGTGCAATTGCTGAGTCATAGGGTAGCTCTATTTTTAATTTTTTGAGGCACCTCCACAGTTTTCCAAAGTGGCTGTACCAACTTGCATTCCCACCAACAGTGTAAGAGGGTTCCCCTTTCTCCACAACCTCTCCAACATTTGTTGTTTCTTGCCTTGTCAATTTTTGCCATTATTAACTGGTGTAAGGTGGTATCTCAATGTGGTTTTGATTTGGATTTCCCTGATGGCTAATGCTGATGAACATTTTCTCATGTGTCTGTTAGCCATTTGTATGTCTTCTTTGGGAAAGTGTCTGTTCATGTCTTCTGCCCATTTTTTGACTTGTTTTTTTGGGTGTTGAGTTTGAGAAGTTCTTTACAGATCTTGGATATCAGCCTTTTGTAGTGTCATTTGCAAATATCTTCTCCCATTCCGTGGATTGTCTGTTTTGTTGACTGTTTCCTTTGCTGTGCAGAAGCTTTTTGTCTTGATGAAGTCCCAAAAGTTCATTTTTGCTTTTATTTCCCTTGCCTTTGGAGATGTATCTTGAAAGAAGTTGCTGTGGCCGATGTTGAAGAGGTTACTGCTTATGTTCTCCTCTAGGATTTTGATGGATTCCTGTCTCACATTGAGGTCTTTCATCCATTCTGAGTTTATCTTTGTGTAGGGTGTTACAGAGAATGGTCGGGTTTCTTTCCTCTGTATATAGCTGTCCAATTTTCCCAGCATCATTCATTGAAGAGACTGTCTTTTTTCCATTGCATATTTTTTCCTGCTTTGTCGAAGATTATTTGACCATAGAGTTGAGGGTCCATATCTGGGCTCTCTATTCTGTTCCATTGATCTATGTGTCTGTTTTTGTGCCAGTACCATGCTGTCTTGGTGATCACAGCTTTGTAATATAACTTGAAATCCAGCAACGTGATGCCCCCAGCTTTTTCTTTTTCAACATTTCCTTGGCGATTCAGGGTCTTTTCTGATTCCATACAAATTTTAGAACTGTTCCAGCACTTTGAAAAACGTCACTGGAATTTTTATCGGGATGGTGTTGAAGGTATAGATTGCTCTGGGCAGCCTAGACATTTTAACAGTATTTATTCTTGCCATCCATGAGCATGGAATGTTTTTCCATGTATTTGTGTCTTCTTCAATTTCTTTCATGAGTGGTCTGTAGTTCCTAGAGTATAGATCCTTTACTTATTTGGTTAGCTTTATTCCGAAGTATCTTATGGTTTTTGGTTCTATTGTAAATGGAATCGTTTCTCTAATTTCTCTTTCCACAATTGTTAATGTCTAAGAAAGCAACTGATTTCTGTGCACTGATTTTGTATCCTGCCACATTACTGAATTGCTGTATGAGTTCTAGTAATTTGGGGGTGGAGTCTTTTGGGTTTTCCACATAATGTATCATGTCACCTGCAAAGAGAGAGAGTTTGACTTCTTCTTTGCCAATTTGTATACCTTTTATTTCTTTTTGTTGTCTGATTGCTGTTGCTAGAACTTCTGGTACTATGTTGAACAACAGTGGCGAGAGTGGGCATCCTTGTTGTGTTCCTGATCTTAAGGGAAAGGCTCTCAGCTTTTCCCCATTGAGGATGATATTCACTGTGGATTTTTCAAAGATGGATTTTATGAACTTGAGGAATGTTCCCTCTATTCCTATACTCTGAAGAGTTTTAATCAGGAAAGGATGCTGTATTTTGTCAAATGCTTTTTCTGCATCAATTGAGAGGACCATATGTTTCTTCTCTCTCGTCTTATTAATGTGTTCTATCACATTGATTGATTTGCGAATGCTAAACCACCCTTGCATCCTGGGGATAAATCCCACTTGGTCGTGGTGGATGATCCTTTTCATGTATTGTTGGATCCTATTAACTAGGATTTTGTTGAGGATTTTGGAATCCATATTCATCAGGGCTATCGGTCTGAAATTCTCCTTTTTCATGGGGTCTTTACCTGGTTTGGGGATTAAGGTAATGCTGGCCTCATAGAATGAGTCTGGAAGCTTTCCTTCTGTTTCTATTGTTTGAAATGGCTTCGGGAGAATAGGTATTATTTCTTCTTTGAATGTTTGGTAGAATTCCCCAGGAAATCCATTAGGCCCTGGACTCTTGTTTTGGGACGTTTTTGATCACTGCTTCAATCTCATTACTGGTTACTGGCCTATTTAGGTTGTGTTTCTTCCTGTTTCAGTCTTGGTAGTTTATAGGTTTCTAGGAAGGTATCCATTTTTCCAGGTTGCTCAATTTATTGGCATATAGTTGTTGATAATAATTTCTAATAATTGTTTCTATTTCCTTAGTGCTAGTCATGATCTCCCCCCTTTCATTCATAATTTTATTAATTTGGGTCCTTTCTCTTTTCTTTTGGGATAAGTCTGGCCAGTGGTTTATCGATCTTACTAATTCTTTCAAAGAACCAGCTTCTAGTTTCATTGATCTGATCTACTGTGTTTCTGGTTTCTAATTCATTGATCTCTACTCTGACCTTAATTATTTCTCTTCTAATGTATGGCTTACGCATCGTTTGTTGCTTTTTCTCCAGTTCTTTAAGGTGTAAAGTTAGTTGGTAAATTTGGGATTTTTCTGTTTTTTTTTGAGTGAGGCTTGGATGGCTACGTATTTCCCCCTTAGGACCGCCTTTGCAGTATCCCATAGTTTTTGGACTGATGTGTTTTTGTTCTCATTGATTTCCATGAATTAAGTTCTTCTTTGATTTCCTGGTTGACCCATTCTTTTTTTTTTTAAATTTTTAATTAACATATATTATTTGTTTCAGGGTACAGGTCTGTGATTCATCAGTCTTACACAATTCATAGTGCTCACCATAGTACATACCCTCCCCAATGACCCAAGCATTCTTAAGCAGAGTGGTCTTTAGCTTCCAAGTGTTTGAATTCCTGCCAAATTTATTCTTGTGATTGAGTTCCAGTTTTAAAGCATTATGGTCTGAGAATATGCAGGGAACAATCTCAATCTTTCGGTATCAGCTGAGATCCATGTGTACTCAAGAAGAGGGAGTGTTGGGCGCCTGGGTGGCTCAGTTGGTTAAGCGACTGCCTTCGGCTCGGGTCATGATCCTGGAGTCCTGGGATCGAGTCCCACATCAGGCTCCCTGCTCGGCAGGGAGTCTGCTTCTCCCTCTGACCCTCCTCCCTCTCATGCTCTCTGTCTCTCATTCTCTCTCTCGCAAATAAATAAAATCTTAAAAAAAAAAAAAAAAGAAGAGGGAGTGTTCTGTTGTTTTAGGGTGGAATGTTCTGTAAATATCTATGAGGTCCATCTGGTCCAGTGTGTCATTCAAAGCTCTTGTTTCTTTGTTGATTTTCTGCTTAGATGATTTGTCCATTGCTGAGAGTGGAGTATTGAGATCTTCTATAATTAACGTATTATCAATATGACTCTTTACTTTGGTTAACAGTTGGCTTATTTAGTTGGCTGCTCCCATGTTGGGAGCGTAGATATTTACAATTGTTACATCTTCTGGTTGGCTAGACCCTTTAAGAATGATAGTGTCCTTCTGTGTCTCTAACTACAGTCTTTAGCTTAAAATCTAATTTGTCTGATACGAGAATTGCTACTCCAGCTTTCTTTTGAGGTCCGTTGACATGGAAGATGGATCTCCATCCCTTCACTTTCAGTCTGGATTTATCTTTAGGTTCAAAATGAGTCTCTTGTAGACATCATATGGATGGGTCCTGTCTTTTTATTCAATCTGTAACCCTGTGCCGTTTTATGGGAGCATTTAGGCCGCTCACGCTGAGAGTGATTATTGAAAGATATGAATATATTGTCATCATGTTGCCTGTGAAGTCCTTGTTTCTATGTATTGTCTCTGTAAATTCCTATTCTATATCACTGCTGGGGTCTTTCTGCTTTTATAGAGCCCCTTTAATATTTCTTGCAGGGCCGGCTTAGGGGTCACATATTCTTTCAGTTTCTGCCGGTCTTGGAAGCTCTGCATCTCTCCATCCATTCTAAATGACAGCTTTGCTGGATGAAGTATTCTTCACTGCATATTCTTCTCATTTAGTACCCTGAATATGTCTTGCCAGGCCTTTCTGGCTTGCCAGGTCTCTGTCGATAGGTCTGATGTTATTCTGAAGTTCCTCCCTCTGTACGTAAGGAATCTCTTCCCCCTAACTGCCCTTAAGATGGTTTCCTTGGTTCTAAGATTTGCAAGTTTTACTATTACATGCTGGGGCGTTGGTCTGTTTTCCTTGATCTTGGGAGGGGTCCTCTCTGCCTCTAGGACATGAATGTTTGTTTCATTCCCCAGATTAGGGAAGTCCTCAGCTATAATTTGCTCAGCTATATCTTCTTGTCCTCTCTCTCTCTCCACCCCCTCAGGGATCCCAATAATTCTGACATTGGAACGTTTCATGGAGTCACTTAATTCTCTAATTCTGTTTCCATGGATTTTTAGCTGTTTTTCCCAGGCCTCCTCTTTTTCCTTCTTTTCTATCAATTTGTTTTCTAGATCACTAATTCGTTCTTCTGCCTCACTTACCCTAGCTGTTAGAATACCTAGATTAGATTGGATCATTGATAGCATTTTTAAGTTCTGCCAGTTTCGCTTTCATTTCTGCCCTTAGAGACTCTATGTTGCCATTAATCGATTTCTCCATTCTAGCTATCATCTTCATAACTGTTACCGTGAAGTCCATTTCCGACATCTTGATTATATCTGTATCCATTTGTAAATCTGCGGCAGAAGTCACAGTCTCTGATTCTTTCCTATTTTGGGGGTTCCTCCTCCTAGTCATTCTGTTGAGGGGTGGTTGAGGGAACGTAGAGAGTCCAAATTATTGACTACAACCCAAGCAAGATGCACCTGTTTTGTAGGGACCTTAGGGTTGCTGGCCTCTTGTTCTCCCAGCCTGTCTTCTGAGGGAGAGGCCTGCCACGCTGTTACTCAGGCAACACTGTTTGGGCAGAGTTGCCCTGCCCCCTGTGGCAGGGGATGGGCTCAGTGAAAACCGGGTTTTGGGGGCTTTTGTTCTCTGGCGGCTTTACCTGGCAGCTTTCCGCGTCTCTTCTGAAGAGTCAGAGCAGCAGTGACCATTTCCAACCCTCTGCCTCAGAACAGAGATCGCAGTCTGTTCTTCAGTGAGTTCTCCAGGCCACACTATCTCCGTTTCTGTCTATGCTGCTATAAACTGCAGTGTCCTGGGTTGTGTGTCCCTCAGCAGCACTCCCAGTCCTTGGCTCCAGGTTGGGGCACGTCTCTGCCCTTTGTGCTTCTAAAACCAGCAGCTGCACCCAGTTCACATGTGCGGCCCTGCTGCTTCAGGTTTCAGTTCAGGGGGCTGCCCTAAAGTCTTTTCCCCACTGCTACTGATCTGTGAATCTGTGCCCCGTCCCTAGTGCGAGAGGCTTTCACCCACCAGCAGTGCAGGATCCCGACGGCTACCTCCTCCTTCCAGTTTATCTTCTGATATGTGCCCATGGAATCACGGCTGCCCACTTCATACCTTGAAACTAACTGCCTGCGATATTCTGTTTGTAGAGATCCAGATAGGTCTTCTTACATCTCAGGCTGATTTCATGGGTGTTCAGAGTGGTCTGGTAGATATCCAGCTCAATTCAGAGGATTGGTTGGAATAGGGTCTCCTTTTCCTCCGCCATCTTTTGTTCTCTTGATACCACCAATTTTAAGATAGATTTTTATGTACTACTACAGATTTAAAGTGTAGTAATGTGAATGTGAGAGAAAAAGCATTTTAGAATGGGTATAATAATAAACAGTCCCAGGAACCAAATCCATTCTTGTTATTTTATTCATAATGTAAACATGGTGGTGTAATTCTTTAATTTTAGTGGTTATTGGAAACTTGTCTGTTCAAAAAGCATTTACCTTTTGCGTCTAGCAGGAGACATTACTGTGGTCTGAGTTTTCTTTTCCTGAGGACCAGGAATGATATTTAAAGCCTCTCCAGCTGTATATAAAGAAAACAAAGCATCATGTCAAGGATATGAAATAGTTTCTAAGCTTGAATTAATGGAATAAGTAGCATTACATAATGATTATTATTTTATATTAAACTCAGCATACACTGAATGCTTTACGATGTGCAAGGCACTGTAAAATACATTAAGATGAGTAATATATACTACAACTTAAGGCTTTATAATACAGTATTAAGTAGAGTAGTCTCAACCAAAAATAACATGGCAGAACAGAGGAAGTGTAAGAAGTATAAACTAAGTGTATACTATAGTGTGCGTATACCGTTTTTTCTTTTCTTTTCTTTTTTTTTTAATACTAAGCGTTTTTACCCAGCGGTGTAAGCGAGCCTGGAGAAAAGATGGAAATGAGGGAGGATGTAACGGATGGTGATATATTTTAGCTGCACAGAAGAGAAAGAAGATTGGTCTAAGAAGTGAGATAGCGGAGACCTGAATTTTTATTCCAACTCTGTTATTAACTAGTTTTTGCCCCTTACTATCATGCGTTTTCAATAGTTTCAAGGATACAACAAGATATACCAGATGGTCTCTAAGTTTATGCCTAGCTCTCAGATTCATAGAAATATGAAAGATTTGTAACATGCAGAAATGGAGGTGTACTGGAAGAACATTCCTCACTGTAGAACAGACTGCCATGAACAAAGATAAGGAGATGATCAAATGTAATGTGTATTACTTTTAAAATCAAATATAACAAGAGTCTTTTCTATCCTTCAGTTAGAATAGAAATAATCCTAGATTAAAATGTCTCATAAGTATAGTAATAGGTTTACTTTAAGGCAAACCTACCCAAAGTGTATTCTACTTCCATCCTGTCTTTTTTGTTTTTTTTTGGTATAATTTTATAAAACGCATATATAAGTGTAGCGTATCATCTATTTATACAGTTACAAAATTTCAGAGAAGAAAATTTAAACTTACTGGCAGCAGTGTCTTGTGGCTGTGAATGGTTGACCACTATAAAATTTGATCTCAAAGGAGCTGAAATCTGGCCAGCCGGCCTCATAACCTGTGTAGCTGCTGGGGGAGGAGGTGGAGGAGGAGGAGGAGTAGTACACTGTCCTGAAAGATACGCTAAAGTCAGCAAGTCTGAACTGACAGGCGCTGCTTGAGCGGCAAGCCTTCTCTGTCGTTTGATTTCTGCAATTCCACTTCTTGTTCGGACTGAAACACATGAGCATTTAAAAGTAAACTGTTGGAGTACTCTGGCAATTTTAACAAGTCTACATGATACATGTCCTACTATTTAACATGTGAAATCTACAGATTAAAAAAGAGCCCTTGAAAGTATCAACTAAATTTATGTTGAAATTATCTGGTAATTCCCTATGAAACAAACTGAAGTGAGTACACCTGACCCTTATACAGCACAGGGGTTAGGAGCACCGACCCTCTGTACAGTTGAAAATCCAACTATAACTTAGGACTCCCGAAAAACCTAACGAATAGCCTAATGTTGACTAGAAGCTGTGCCAATAACCAATAGTTGATTAACACATATTTTGTATGTTATACTGTATTCTTACAATAAAGCAACCTAGAGAAAACAAAATGTTATTAAGAAAACCACAGGAAACGAAAATACATTTACACTCCTGTACTGTATTTAGAAAAAAATGTGTGAATAAGTGGACCCATACAGTTCAAAGCAGTGTGGCTCAAGGGTCATCTGTACACACAAACTGCATAAATCTACGAGTATATTTCTTCTGTAATAATTCATACTGATAATACCTCTACAAACCTTTGAAGTGAGAATTAAAAAGATGTGAATACATGAGAGCCACTGAAAAAAAATAGGGAGTATTTCAAATGTTTATTTCTACAATAAATGAAAATACTTCCTATTATAATAACTGTACTTAGAAAAGCAGTAGTTTAAACAAAATAGATACTTGGCGCAAATGTACTGTTAATGAAAATGTTCATCTGATAGTATGTATGAGTATGAAGTAATTCTGAACATTATTTATAGTTTAAAGTTGAATACCAACCTCTCTGATTAGCAACAAAGCCTGGGGAACTTTGCATGCTCCTAAAAAATAAAACAAAATAGTTAGACATGAAAATATTTCTGCTGCCAAGATACATTCTAATTTAGTAACAGACCTGAAGTAAACTGAATTAAAGGCAATAGATCTCTCTCAGACAAAAAAGACAAGCGCATTTATTTTGGGGGGGGTGACCAAATCTTACTTGCTTTAGAAGAGTAGCAGGTAAGCACACTCATGCACATATGATTTTAATCATCAAGCTTCTATCCAGTGCAGTATGCATTAGAGAACTCTGACATCCCATCAAGAATTTGACTTGACTTTAGGAAGTCTATATATTTAAGAAAGTTGTGCATAATTACCCTTACCACTAGAGATACCTTCCCAGAGAGATTCTGATTTCGCATAGGACTCCATAAATACTCCAGAATCCCAAAGTTAACTTCAAAGGACATCCTGATTTTATCAAATTTATGACTATAAACTATTTTATCCAGCCTCTAACAAGAGAAAAAGGTAAACATATAATTCATAATATAAGGTGATTCTCCTTTTATTATGGTTACCCAATCATGGATACTGCTATCTTCCTGGGAAATCTGTTAAATAAGTCTCTACCAACAAGAGCAACAAAACTTACTAAACTGATTAAGCACTTTTTTAAAAGATTATTTATTTGAGAGAGAAAGAGAGAGGGGGGAAAGAGACAGGGAGAGTGAGAGGGAGAAGCAGACTTCGCACTGAGCAGAGAGAGTCTGACGTGGGGGCTCGATCCCAGGACCCTGAGATCACGACCTGAGCCAAAGGCATACGCTTCACCAACTGAGCCACTCAGGGGTCCCTGAATAAGCACTGTTAATAACACACAAACCACCCTGGAGAATACCTGGCGAAGAGCCTTTTATTTTTATGTAGTACCTTGTCAATAAGATATCTCAGTAACTTATAAATATTTATAGGTGTTAAACTGTGAATGTCTTTTTTAAAAAAAGATTTTTAGAATTTATTTATTTAGAGAGAGACACCGTGTGAGCAGGGGGAGAGGCAGGGGGAGAGAATCTCAAACAGACTCCCTGCCGAGGGGGGAGTCTGATGCGGGGCTCCATCCCAAGACCCTGAGATCAGAACCTGAGCAGAAATCAAGAGCTGGATGCTGAACTGACTGAGCCGCAGGTGCCCCAGATTGTGAATGTTTTTGAAAGAGTGTCTGAAAGAGAGGAAATGAGTTGAAATGGGGGAAAACAGGTGAGACTGTCCAATGAGATGTGGCACAAAGTCAGACAGAAAGCGTTTGGGGCCACTTCAGGGTTTAAACCGAGGAAGGAATGGAGCCCCTGCTGAGGTGGTTTTTTTTACAGATTTATTTATTTTACAGAGAGAGAGAAAGGGAGCAGGAGCACAAGGGCAGAGGGAGGGAGAATTCCAAGCAGATTCCCTGCTGAGTGCAGAGCCCCACATGGGGCTCAGTCTCACAACCGTGAGATCATGACCTGAGCCAAAACCTAGAGTTGGAGGCTCAACCGACTGAGCCACTCAGGGACCCCAAGCCCCTGCTGAATTTATGTTGGGTATTCACCTGTAGCTCTGGGAGAAAGGGTAAAAAACTCAGTTTTCATACTAGATTCTAAAGTTAAATAAGAGATGTTATAATTGATACCAGTAAGGGCTGGCATCCGAGGCCATGACATGACCTAGGTAAAAGGGAGACACTGCTACCATGAGGAAATTCTAAAATTAGAAGGTCCCAGAAGTAGCATTATTATTCAAGTTTGTTTCTTTATAGGGCAAGAACCAATGAGGCATGAATTCAACACATCAATTCTTTGCATGAGTAACCAAGACGCAACTATGTAAGGGAATTCACACAAGACTGGCATTAGATTTGTATTCTAGCCAGAGATCTGCCTCTAACTTGCTCTGGGAACATGGGAATGTTACTAAATATCTATAAATCTCAATTTCCTTATTTCTCAACATTTTACTGAAGTATGCATTTTATGTCAAATTATTCCAATAAAAAACAAATATCAATAACCTCTAGAGTAAATTTAAAATTAGATCAGTATCACAGAAATGCACTGTGTGGGTCTTAAGAAGATTTAAAACTGAACAGCTTCCTACATGTGTTTGCATTCCAAAATGATCATGCATGTTCTGATAAACTTACTATACAGGCTTTTTATTACCTGATCTGAGAAAGTGTATGGTCTAACTTCTTCCATAGAGATGACATAATTGCTGGGACATCATTTGATGTTTCTAGAGCATAAGAGGAAAAGTTTCTTAATAAATACAGTCAAAGAAAATTCATCACTTAATTTAGACACAAAATGAATAAGGAAAACAAACTTTCCTCTAAGCTGCTGACATATGTCACAAACTAAGAAATAAGCCTATTTTGTAAAATGGCCTAAAAAACTATAAACGAGACTGGCTTCTTTTCTTAAGCCATTGAGTATCAGATGCAATATGAGTGGAAATGGGAATTTGTAAAGCCTCTGAAGCTTTTATAGATCAATTTTTTAACTTCTTTGCATTAAAAAAAGACTTTTTTTTTTTTTAAAGATTTAAGTAATCTCTACATCCAACATGGGGTTCGAACTTAACAACCTAAGATCAAGAGTCACATGCTCCACCAACTGAGCCTGTCCCTCAAAAGGGCAAACTATTTTAAATCTGTTCTATTTGACATCATACTACATTTGAATGTTAATTAAAATAATCTGATTTATAATAAATATCATAAAGGTTACGCAAACTCCTGTGACTATGGAAATTATTTTTCTACAACCACTGTTTTTATGTCCAAATCACTGCGATCACTCAGCAACCCCTTAATAAAAGCCCCACCAGTTACTATACTTAAGTTACAGCTAAAATTCCTGAGGACGGATTAATTTTTTTTTTTGAATATGCTCTAAAAGCCCACAGTGATGGGAAACTTCTAGGATATTTAAAATCTTTACTATATACTTATAAAAAAACTCAAACCAGAGAAAGCTACCCAACATAAAAATGGGATTAAACCTTTGTAATCCAATAGCATATTGTTTCTGAAGTTATTTACACTCTAAATATTCCTGTAAGAATATTTAGGCCTATTACATTTTTTTCTAGTGCTGTGATCTTGGAAAAAGTTATATGGCTTCTCTAATTCTGTTTTCTGATATTTAAAAATTATTTTAACAATCAACACCTGTAACTGGGTTTTTTTAAGGACTGAAGTAAAACAAAGGAAAGCATTCAGCACAAAGCTGCCTAAAGACAAATACCCAAAGTAATAAATAAGCATCTTTCCTTTTTTTCAATGTTATTATTTTATGGTAATTCTTTTGTTAATGTTGTGAATTACAAAAATAATCAGTATTGGAGAATAAAACAAACAATTTTAACTTTCCCCCTAAAATATTAACTTAGGCAAGTATTATTTTATATTCTGGTTAATATAAACCAGAATTTTATGACTGGTTCCTGTGTTGAGGTTTAGACTACCAAGACCTTAAAATTAAAATATTGACTTGAAATTCTGTAACACACAGAACATGTTCATCAGTTTAGACACTTAGACTTGAGTTTTATTTATTTTTTTTAAAGATTTTATTTATTTATTTGAGAGAGAGAGAATGAGAGAGAGAACACATGAGAGGGGATAGGGTCAGAGGACGAAGCAGACTCCCTGCCGAGCAGGGAGCCCGATGCGGGACTTGATCTAGGGACTCCAGGATCATGACCTGAGCCGAAGGCAGTCGCTTAACCAACTGAGCCACCCAGACGCCCTTGAGTTTTATTTTTTAAGAAAATTATTTTGTTATATTCTCTAGCTTTCAGATTTTTGCCATTGACTTATTAATCAATATAAATGCAAACTGATTAGATATCTCTCAGTAAAACATATCTCATCATAACTGAGACAAGTTTTCTTTTGGCTTTTAGGAGGCATTAACAGTCTTTAAAAATTGTTTCCAATTAAAACTATTAGATAAATCCTGTGTAAAATAGAAAAGAATCCCTGACCCTCTCAATTCTTACCTTTTGCTTTCATAGCTACATACTCATTCAGAATTGTTGTCAGGTTTTTTCCAAACAAGGACTGAAAAGAAAAAGATCAAGCATTATAAAAGTTGTGCAATACTACTAATAATTTCCCACCATGAAACATTTCACTGTATAAAGTTATAAAAGATCTGGATTTTTTGATGAAGAACAGATTAGGGTAAGAACAGCTTATCAAAAGTGAAGAGTCACTTAAGGTAGGGGTTGCATCAAATCTACAAGTCATGAATCTTGCCTCTTTGCATAAGACACTGTGACTGTTTCATTAGCTAAGACAGTCCAAAGGCAGAAAAGCAGTTTTCAGCTGTGGGGTAGGGATCTAGTCACGTAACTTTTTTTTTTTTTTTTTTAAGATTTTATTTATTTAAGAGAAAGTGAGAGGGAGAGAGAGAGAGAGCATGAGCTGGGGGGAGGCGCAGTGCGAGAGGGAGAAGCAGACTCCCCACTGAGCAGGGAGTCCGATGCGGAGCTTTATCCCAAGATCCTGGGATCATGATCTGAGCTGAAGGGAGATGGTTAACCACTGAGCCACCCAGGTGCCCTCAGTCACATAACTCTTTAAAAACAGTAAGGACTCACTCCTAATTTGCCCTTTCTATCCTGAAAGCCATATGAACCTGCCAAAAAACAAAGTGAAAAGACACAGAGCATAAGAGAGAGCCTTCTCAAGGACCAGCACCTTCCTATTTTCACTTCTATCCTCTCACAAACTTGTTTTCCTCCCCCGCCCCGCCCCAGTTTCTCCTACTACTAAAGTGCAGGTTTTTATTACCTCAAGTTTGAGGTTGTAAGACTCTGGAAGGCTTACTTTCATATGTAAAAGTGGACATGTTACTTCTTAATTCGTAGAGTCATTTGTTGTGAAGATTAAGTAAGGATACATGACACATGTCTAAGACAACGTCTAACACAGGACAGGTGATCAGTTTCCTTTTCTCTCCTAAAGATTTCTACTTTGTTCTGTCTTAACTAAAGCCTGATAAGTTTGGGGATTTGCTTAATACTAACTTGGTCATTCTACCTTGCCTTATTATCTAGTAGCTAACATTAATTTGTGAATGACTGGTATTGTGTCCCCCAAAATTCACATCAGGACACAGTGGAGAAAGTGGCCATCTATTAAGCTGAGAAGACAACCGTCACCAGGAACTGAATCAGGAGCACTTTGATCTCAGACTTCCTAGCCTCCAGACCTGGGAGGAGATCTAGCGGCTAGGTGTGCATGTAGCTACTGGGGAACCACTGCAGCTGGGCCCTCACAGCAGAAAGCTACACAACCACACGGACATGCTAATCCAAATAAACAAACACACCTATATCTGTATAGATTTCTACAAATATTAAACATGGCTTCATAGTGGTATCTCTGACTACGACTCAACACCACAGGTTTCATACTTAGGCTTATCTGTATCTTCTTTCTCCCAGAGTCCTAGCTCCAATTATCTACAATACCATCTTACTTATTTGTTGAGAATGGCTAATTTAGAGGAACTCGGGGGAATTTATTTAAGATTCATTCATGCTGTTGTGTGAATCAACAGTGTGTTGCCTTTTATTGCTTAGTAGTATTTGATTCTATGGCTATACCATAGTTTACCCACTTACTGGCTGAAGGACCGCATGGTGGCTTCTGATTTTTGACCATCACATATGAACATTAGTGTGCAGGATTTTGGGTGAATATGTTTTTCAATTCACTTCGGTAAATATCTGGGTGTAGGAGTGCTGGGTCTCATGCATGTTTTAGGCACGTTTAACTCGTATGTATTTAGCTCAATGTATGTTTAACTTCATAAACAATTGTCAATCTGTTTTCCAAAGTGGTTGTATGATTGAGTTGAATGAGCAATGAATGAATTCCTACTGCTTTCCATCCTTAGTGCTAAGTATCTGGCAATTTTTAAATGGTTTTTTACATTAGCCATTCTAATAGGTATATATTGGTATCTCCTTATTCATTTGCATCTTTCCAATAACAAATGATTTGGAGCATTTTTTTCTTGTTTTTCTCTTTTGGAGTTTTTTTTCCATAAGCTTATTGCCATCTTCAGATCTCCTGCCCATTAAAAATTTCGTTTTTTGGGGCGCCTGGGTGGCTCAGTCATTAAGCGTCTGCGTTTGGCTCAGGTCATGATCCCAGGGTCCTGGGATCGAGCCCCACATCGGGCTCCCTGCTTGGCAGGAAGCCTGCTTCTCCCCCTCTCCCACTCCCCCTGCTTGTGATCCTGCTCTCGCTATCTCTCTGTCAAATAAATAAGTGAAATCTTTAAAAAAATTTTTTTTCTTCGTTTTTTTTTTTTTTTTAAATTAACAGTTTTTTAACAGGTATTCTCGGTACAAATTCTTTACCACAGATGTGATAATGTAAATAGTTTCTTTCAGCCTGTGGCTTGTCATTCTTGGAACAGTCTATTGTAGGGCAAAATTTTTAAATTTTTACGAAGTTTAATTTACCAATTTATCCTTTTGTCAGTTCTTTTGGTATCACATCTGAAACTCATCATCAAACCCATGTTTACACAAGTTTTCTCAAAAAAAAAAAAAATATCTTACAGTTCTACATTGCACCTTTGGTCTTTTATCCACTTGGGTTAATCTTTATATAAGGTATGTGTAGAGGATCTTTTTTTGAATCTGGATGTCTAATTGTTCTATCTCCATTTGTTGATAAAATTACTCTTTCTCCAGTGAATTGCTTTTGCACTTTGGTCAAAATCAGTTGTGTGTGTGTGTCTACACTGGGCTCTATTCTGTTCCACCAATCTAAGTCCCTAACCTTCCTCTAATGCCACTCAATCCTGATTATTAGAGGTTGTTAGCAATCCTGATTATTAGAGGTTGTTAGTAAGTCTTACAATCAAGTAATGGGAGTCTTCCAACCTATCCTTTTTAAGAATTATTTGGGCTACTTTATAGTTCCTTTGCTTTTCCATGTAAAATTTAGAATTCAGCTTGTTGCTATCTACAAAAATGTTTGTGGGGATTTTGATTGTAATGGATATACAGATCACAATGGGGAGAACTGACATGTTAAATGAACATAGTATGTTTGATATTCTCCAGCAGTTTTGGAGGTTTTTTCAGGTTTCCTCCATAGATAAGCATGTTGTCTATGATAACTGAAATGAATTTGAGACATGTTCAAAATAAATTAGCAAAATACTATGTCAGGCGCCTGGGTGGCTCAGCTGGTTAAGTGGCTGCCTTCGGCTCAGGTCATGTTCCTGGAGTCCCGGGATCGAGTCCCACATCGGGCTCCCTGCTCAGCAGGGGTCTGCTTCTCCCTCTGACCCTCTTCCCTCTCGTGCTGTCTCTCATTCTCTCTCAAATACATAAATCTTTAAAAAAAAAAAAAATACTATGTCAAATAACGTAGCTCCAAACTCTATTATATTCCAAATGATGCTCTGTTGGTCTAGTGATATTCTAAAAAGAGGTGACAACAAGGTAACAAAACACCTGTTTTATATTTGTCTAAATTAAGCAAGCAGACATAGGAAAAAATGGGTTGAGATAAGATACCACAGAGCAGGTGGCTTAAATAACAGGCATTTCTTATTCTGGAGACTGGTGAGGGCCTAAATGAAAATCAAGGTGCTGGTCAATTTGGTTCCTGGTGAGGGCCAAATTCCTGGCTTCCAGACATCTCCCTTCTTGCTGTGTGCTCACATGGCATCCCCTCCGTGCCTGTTCGAGGAGAAAGATCTCTCTCTTCCACCTCTTCTAAAGGCAATAATCACATCCCAAGGGGCCCAACCTCATGACCTAATCTAAACCTAATTAATTCCCAAAAGCCCCACCACTAAACCATCACATTGGTGGTTAGGGTTTCAACCTATGAATTCTGGAGGGACACAAATATTTAGTCCATAGCAGGCAGAAAACAAGTGAGCCCTAAGACAGGCAGTAGTGAAACTAGTTAGAAATGAGAGTGTCAGGGCCCCTGGGTGGCTCAATCGGCTAGGTGTCTGCCTTTGGCTCAGGTCCTGAGATTGAGCCCTGCATCGGATTCTCTGCTCAGCGGGGAGCCTGCTTCTCCCTCTCCCTCTGCCGCTCCCCCTGCTCGCTCGCTCGCTCTGTCAAATGAAAAAATAAAAAATTAAAAGAAATGAGAGTATAATTTTTTTTTTTAAGATTTTATTCACTTGACAGAGAGAGAGCGAGTGAGCCAGAGAGCACAAGCTGGGGGGAGTGGGGGATTGGCAGAGGGAGAAGCAGGTTCCCCACTGAGCAGGGAGCCTGACGCGGGGCTCGATCCCAGGACCCCGGGATCATGACCTTAGCCAAAGGTAGACGCTTAACCACATGAACCACCTAGGCACCCCGAAAGTGTTATTTTGAAAGTGAGTCTTAGAAGCAAAGTTGCCAGCTTTGGCATAAGCATGTGAAAAGAAGAGCTGGCCTTCTTTCGGTCTTTTCAGTCATGCATTAATACTAACTATCAAATGTCTACCAATTTTGAAACTGCTAATGAGCTGATGTTAGGACTGCTGTTTATAGTCGCTCATGCTGGTCAATGAAGAACTATTTCCCTTAAGGAACAAATCACTCACCAGTAAGCAGGCTGGAATAAAACCTTCATCTGTACAATGTTCCGCGTATTCTTTTAAATTTGAACTTTCCAAAATAAAAGTTTGGCAGGTAGAAGTGAGGTTTTCCTGTTGTAAGTAACCTAAATGAAAAACAGAAGGTTAGGTAATTCCAGTAACTTCAGTACTTTCGCCAAAACAGAAATGCAGTTTCTTATCACAAATGGAACCTCAGGTGGAATGTGCTGGGTTTCTGCAGCCTTGCCCAGAACCACCAGTTTGTGTTGCAGTACAAAGCAGTCTTCATAGAATACATGGTTGTTTGATGGAAAAAACTCTAGCTAACCTAAAGACATACGGTATTTGATCAAGTACAATTAATGCACAGTAATGCTTACAAGCGAATCTATAAGTAATGATACATAAGAGGAGAACTAATAAATAATCAATGTTCTTCTCCATAACCTCCATACTGACCAGGCTGGCAGACAGTTATATAAGTAACTTACTGGATTATCAAAAAACTACATTCTCCCCATGTTGCTATTTACTTGTACATTTCACTTATTTGCCTAACGGTTTTAAGAGAAAAATGAACAAGAGACCTGCTTTGAAGGAAAGCAAAGAAAGGCACTTCCTTGATTTTTTAATTTATGCCTTTGGGAATCAAAACACTATTTCAACAACAACGACAGCATTTACATCTAACTGACATTTACGGAACAATCTTATTTATCAGTCCTTGGTACTCGCACACATATGAACGCTTCATTTGTCTTGACTAGCAGCCTTTGTTCTTTTGTTTCTTAGCATTATTGGCGTTTACCTAAACCCACCACTAAAAACAGCATGTTAATACTGAAAGAATATTGGATAGGATATTGGGAGACCAGGTTTTTACTCTATTCAGTAAAAATAAGCATTGTGAATTTGGGGCAAAAAATATCACATATCTTCCAGGACTAGGGTGCTTCATCTGTAAGGCATCACACTTGTCTTGACTTGTGGATCAAATCTGGTGAAATTACTCCCTTGTGTAAAGCCCTTCAATCACTTTCCATAGCACTCAGTTTAAACTTCTAAATTCTGAGCAGCTTCAGCTGGAATGACCATGTAAGGACCTCCAAAAATCCTCTCCTCCATAAAAGCAATGAGAACACTGGCACAAATGGTTAAAAAGAGAAAAACTTTTACAGAACTCAGAAAATAATCAAAGTCTTGGGAGCATTTAAGAAAAATAGAAGAGCGTCAGTAATAATGAACATTGTGGCATTTTAACTTGCTCTATTCTCATGCTCATATCCCCAGCTGAGTGGTATACTTGTTTTAACTGTGATTCCAGGCTGCTGATTTTCAAACAGCTTAGCAGCCAATGGAGGGGTCAGACAGGGCTGGAATTTTTCCAAAGACTCATTCCCATTCCCAGAATAATGTGATCTGTGTAAAAATTACCTGGAAACCTCCAGCTGCATGGCTTGTCTTTGAATTGAATCAGATTTTACCCAGTGCAAAGAACCTTCTCCTTTAAGATGTTTGCCTAAAACTATCAGTAGGAATAGCTTAACACTACAGCTACCAGTGACGAAGAGTGGGACAAACAAGCTAAACAAAAAAACCACAAAACATACAGACACACACACACACACAGAGCTGGGTATGAGCAGTCCATGGCAGGCTCTGAAAAGTTAGGATATATTCCTGGGATATTAGAAGGACATGTACAAGTGTAGGGCAGTGCACATACTCAGAAGAGATCTGACAAGGCCCTAAGCCCTCACCTCTGGCTGACCAGTAAGGCTCTGAGTAAGCAGGCTAAGGCAGAGTTGCCAACTGCTTAGCTGAATGTTCAAGCATGCCCCAACATACACAGAGCCCCTTGACAAACAATGGGAGACTTATGGACTCCAAGCTTCAAAAAAAAAAAAAAAAAAAAAAAAAATTCAGTGTCCAATCATAGAATATAAACTCAAAGAATAAAGACTTTACAGATTTAGTTGAGGCAGTTCACAGCAACTGCTGAAACAACAAAGAGCCATAACAAACATGAGGGAGGCAGGAGAATTTGATTACAAGAGCTGTCACGTTATATTATTTAAAATGTCTAATTTACACCAAAAAAATATGAGACATGCAGAGAAACAAGAAAGTATGTTTCATATACAAGGCAAAAATAAGGGCGCCGGGTGGCTCAGTTGGGTGTCTGCCTTTGGCTCAGGTTATGATCCTGGAGTCCTGGGATCGAGACCCACATCGGGCTCCCTGCTCAGCGAGGAGTCTGCTTCCCCCTATATCCCTCACCCTGCTCGTGCTCTCACTCTCCAATAAAAACTTAAAAAAAAAAAAAACAAAAAAACACAAGGCAAAATAAAAGCAGTCAATAGAAATCATCCCTAAGGAAGCAAAGAGTTAAAACTTTAAAAACTTTAGAGTTTTTAACTACAGTTAAAACTTAGTATCAGCTACTTCATTTTTTAAAGATTTGAGAGAGAAAGAAAGAACAAGCATGAGCATGGTGGGGAGGGGAAAAAGGAGAGGGAGAGAGAGGGAGGGAGGGAGGGAGAGAGATACTTTAGCAGTCTCTGCACTTAGCTCAGAGCCTGATGCAGGGCTCAATCTCATGATTCTGAGATCACAACCTGAGATGAAATCAAGAGTCGGATGCTTAAACGACTGCCTCACCTAGATGTCCCCAAAATCAGCTGTTTTAAGTAAGTTCAGAGAACTAAAGAAAACTATTCCTAAATATCTAAAAAAAATTATGAGCAATGTTTCATCAAAAAGAAATAAGAAAAACAGAAATTATACAAAAAAAAAACCAAGCAGAAATTCTAGGGTTGAAAAGTATAAAAACTAAAATGAAAAATTCCCTAGAGGGGGGACTCAACAGCAGATGTGAAGAGGCAGATGAAAGAATTAGTGAACCTGAACACAGCTCAAATGAGATTATCCAGCATAAGGAACAAAAACAAAAAAATATCACAAAAAGTTAACAGTCTTTGAGACTTGTGGAACACCATCCGTTGTGCCAACATAAGCATAATCAAAGTCCCAGGGGAGGAGAGACAGAAAAAGGCAGAAGGAGTATTTGAAGAATTAATGTCCAAATAATGAACATCCAAAATTTGAGAATTATTTAATTTATTTATCTAGGAAGCTCAATAAATTCCAAGTAGGATACACGGAAAGAAATCCATATCTAGACATCTCATAATCAAATTGTCAAGACAAAGAGAATTTGGAAAGCAGAGAGAAACATCACAAGCAGAGAGAAACCTCACAAGGGATCCTGAGTAAGATTAACAGCTTTTTTTCTCATGAGAAACCATGGAGGCCAGAGGCAGGGAGATGAGGTAAAGTGCTAACAACAACAAAAATCCAACCAAGACCAGCAAAATCCCTTCAAAATGGAGACATTAAGCTACTCCCAGATTAAAAATACAAAATGAAACAAAACCCGAAGACATTGTTGCCAGCAGACTTGCCCTTTAAGAAATACTAAAGGGAGTCCTTTAGGCTAAAATTAAAGGACACTGGACAGTGAAACAAATCCATGTTAAAAAAACAAAACACACCAATAAAGGTAACTGTACAGGAAAACATAAAACAGTATAAATTACTTTTTGTTTGTAACTTCCTTCTGCTTTAAATGACAACTGTATATAGTAAGTATAAATCTGGGTTGGTGACCATATAATGATGAAGATATAATTTATATGATCTTAAAAGCAAAAAGGGGGAAGAAAATGGAGTTAAAGAGGAGCAAAGTTTTTATATACTATTTAAATTAAGTTGGTATTAATCCAAACAAGATTGTTTTAAGTTACTTGTAACCTCCAAGCAATCACTAAAACAAAGGCTCAAAAATAAAAAACATAAAGGAAACAATGGAGAGGCGGGGGCGCACCTGGGCAGCTCAATTGGTTACGTGTTCAGACTCTAGTTTTTGGCTTAGGTCATGATCTTGGGAGCCTGAGATAGAGACAGAGAGAGAGAGAGAGAGAGAGAGAGAGGGAGGGAGAGGGGGAGAGAGAGAGAGAGAGAGAGACACACACACACGGCTCTGCGCTCATCAGCGAGTTGGCTTGAGGATTCTCTCTCCCTTAGCCCCCTCCCTGCTCGCCTGCACGTGCTCTCTAAAATAAAAATTAAGAAAAAAAGGGAAACAATGGAATTAAAATGGTAAATTGGAAATATCCAACACAAAAAAGGCAGTAATAGAAGAGTAACAGAAAAAGTAAACATAAAATATATATAGACTACAAGTATCAAAATGGCAGGCAAAATCCTCACCTTATCAGTAATTATATTAAGTGATAATGGATTACACAATAAAAAGGTACAGACACACAGAATGAATAAAAAATACGATCCAACTACATGCTTTTGACAACAGACACACTTTACATTCAAACACCAAATAGGTTGAAAATAAAAGGATGGAAAAAGATATACCATCATACAGTAACTAAGAGCTGGAGAGGCTATACCATATCAGACAAATTAAGACAAATATTGTTAGTAGACACAAACATAATGATAAGATATTTAATGAATCAAAAAGAGAATTACAAGCATATATGCATGTAACAACAAAGGCCCCCCAAAACATGAAGCTGAAACTAACAGAAGTGGAACAAGAACTAGACAATTCAACAATAGAAGTTACAGACTTCAACATCCTACTTTCAATAATGAATAGACTAGAGAGCTCAGTCAGGAATGAGAAGGCTTGAACACTATAAACCAACTAGACCTAACAGACATCTATAGCCTACTCCACCCAACAACAGCAGAATACACATTCTTCTCAAGTGCATGTGAACATCCTCCAGGATAAACCACACATGAGGACATAAAAAAAGTTTCAATAAATTAAAAGACAAATTATATAGAGTATGCTCTCTGGCAAGACTAAAATTAGAAATCAGTAATAAGAAATTCACAAATATGTGGAAATTAAACAACACTCTCCTAATCAAAGGGTCAAAGAAGAAAACAAAAGGAAAGTAGAAAATATTTTGAGATAAACAAAAACAAAATGCAACATACTAAAACTTATGGATGCAGCTAAAGAAGTGCTTACTGGTATATTTATATCTGTAAATACATTTCAAAGATGAAAGATCTCTAACCAATAACCTAT